CCAAGATCACTTGATAGTCCGCGTTCGTCTGCATACGTTCCAGGTGGACACGGGATTGCTTGCTGGCTGCCCTCGAGGCAGTAGTGCCCCGTAGGGCACTGGTTTTCTTTTGTAAGTTCTCCAGTGCCTTCACCGGGACAAAGGTACCCTGGTACGCATATAAGGCAAGAAGCTGTGCCGCTGCCTTCCTGGTATGGATTGTAGGTGCCCCCTATACACGGGCGCGGCTCTGAAGAGCCGAGAGGACAAAAATGGCCTGCTGGACAAGGCTCCGGGACAAGAGAGAGGGCAGGGCAATAGAACCTGAACACCCGTGAAACATCAAGAGAACGAACAGCCTGTTGGCAAGCTAAACGATGGAAGCAATCGCCTTGCTCGTGCTGCACGAGTCACAATTTGAAAGGATAAGCACAAGAAACCAGTTGGGAGCTTCGTGGGAAAAAAGTTGATCCAGAAGCCACAATTCCAACAATTTCAGGGTCTCTAGCAACAGCTCACCCTGACTGAAAACTGCAGGGTGCTCTGGACTCACCCCTTTGGACATATGGAACAGTCACTCTCCCACCTGCCTAGGTTGGCCTGCCTGACACTTCCACCTGGACAGGGCTGTGGTTCCTTGGCACCTGCAGGGCAGTAGTGCCCTGGAGGACACGGAATGCCTCCATATCCGGTTTCCTTCACTTCCTCCCAATTGTCCAAGGTCAAGAGTGTAACGCCTCCGGCAGCGGCAGCACTTGGTGGTACAAAAGGTTCATTTAGCATCTGTTCCATCCATGGGTTGGGCACCCAATTGCCCAGACCACAGAAGAACCTGCCAGCACAGATTCTTACGTACGCCAGTCCTTTAAGCATGTTTTGGTGTATCCTTTGGCTCTCAAGTTACTCACAACGTATTTTTGTCTTAGTTGAAGCGAAAAAGCAACAATAGCCCTAAATGCGTACCCTGCAAGGCAGTCCCCAGCTTCGGCAGCTCCCCTGCAATATTTTCCCCGTGGACATGGAACGCAAGCATCAGTGACATCAGGGTCTTTATTAGGCAAAGAGCCTCGAGGGCAGAGGCCAGGCTCTGCACTTCCTTCAGGACATACCTGCAGCGCGTGTTTACATTCGCAACAAATTCTGTATCAGTGAATGCATGGTCCTCTGTGCTACCATAGCGGCGATTTAGCAACTCTTTACCCGCTACACCTTGATTTTGTTGTTACCGAACTGCGTATTGCTGACCTTTCCCTCGGGGCACTCCACTGGATCCGTGCTAGTAGCATTGCAGTAGAACCCTTCTGGGCAGGGCTGACAGGAGCGTTGTCCCGTCGTTCTGGTGTATGTGCCGGGTGCGCATGCGATCGGGTGGGTGGCCCCTTCTTCGCAGTAAAATCCTTCCGGGCAACTTTCGCCTTTAGTCCTGTCTGTGGGTTTGCTTGTCTCAGAACCTCCGTAGCAGACATATCCGGGAGCGCAGTCTCCTGTGGGGGATGTGTTGCCCTCTCCAGAACAATACTTGCCCGCTGGGCATGGTACGCACGATGTTCCTCCGGCTTTCCCCTGGGAAACACCTGCGATGCGATGACTAGGTTGAGCCCTCTGTAGGCCAAGAACATTCAGTGTAGGGCAACAGGGTAACGTACCTGATATTGCCCTTCAGGACATGGCGTTGGGCTCTGAGCTCCTTCTCCACAGTAATGACCAGGAGGACAGAGGCCATTCACCTCATTTTCAAAGCTGTACACCTGATCTACAATGCGGGGATGAGCGGCTCCTGCAACGCAGATAGTTCCTGCATAGCACTTCTGAGTGGCACTTGTTGCCCTGTAGTCAGGGCAGTACATTCCTCGAGGACACAGCTTGCACGATGACTGCCCTTCTTGGTCCTGGAACGTCCCAGGTTTGCACGGCTGTGGAACAATGGTTTGTTCGCCGCAAAAGTGCCCTTCCGGACAGGCCGTGCCGTCCTTGGTGTTTCCAGGATTTTGGCAGTAGGTGCCGGGGCTGCAAGGAGTGCACGAAGCCTGACCCTCAGAGCTGAATGTGCCAGATGGGCATTGCTGAGAATCAACAAAAAGAAATGGAAGTTGTGAAAACGACGCACTGCACAATTGCGCCTCCACTGGGCCGAAACTTTATCGGCTAATACATGAATGTTGGACTGGGGCTACAAATTGGCAAAACGGGATGGGTTTTGGCAAAATGAGCGGATGAGTTCTGTATCGCTGATTCGATTGGAGTTTCTGAACTGTTTAAGAGGTATAGCTGGCCACTAAAAAATCCTGTGAATGTATCCCTTCTCTTGCCTTTTCTGCAAATGAGCCTTCTGGACAATAGTGTCCTGCTGGACAGATGTAGCCCATTGTCTGGTTGTCAGGTGTCGCAGTGTTTGAACCCTCCAGGCAAACGTACCCCCCCGCACAGGGAACCTGCACACCCTCGCTGATGCATGCAAACCCCGCGGAGCACTTGAAGCACCCGGACTTAGACGTAACGCCTCCTGTTTGCGAGAATGTTCCACTGCGCGCAAGGCATGCTGAGGGACAATTTTGGCGTATGCACGCTTTGCCCCAGCTTTGCTTTTACGATATCAGTCCAAGGGAGTAAGTTGATATTCTTGTGCAAAGAAAAAAACCATCTATTATTTATTCCTGACTGTAATCGGGATACGTGTACGCAAAGCAGGCAGAACCACGACAGTTCACTGGACGTTTACGGAGTGATCGAAATATTACGGAATTCGCTATGGGACCTGCTAGGTTCAACTGCGAGTGCAATCATGCAAAGGTGAGCGCACACTGGGCATGGCGTAGGCTCCGACACGCCTTCTGTGCAGTAGTGGTTGGGAGGGCAGATGCCGCCGATGTCGAGAGTTTCACCAGTCTCTGGATGAACCATGCCTGCCAAAGGTGTGGCGGTCCAAGACCCTGCTTTGCAGTAGTAACCCTGACATTCAATAAACAATTTGTAGATTAGGGGCGGTAAAATATGTTCGCCAAGTTGTAGATATGGAGCTAAGAAGTATTCCGTAGGCAAAAAAATGAATATTGACTGCTCTACATACGTGGTACTTACTGCTGAGCAGCTTCCCGAGGCCTGTATTGCTCCTCGTTCAGCACAAAATTTTCCCTTTTCACAGGGAGTGCACGATCGTGTGTCCGAAGACCCGGTTTGCGTGGAGATCCAACCAAGCTTGCAGTATTCTGACGTGCCTCTAGTTGATCCCTCAGGACATGCAAAACCGGCGAGGCATTGTTTGGGTTCTTCGAGACCAAACGCGTCACAGTACGAGCCTGCAGGGCATACTTTGCAGCTTCTTGCACCTTCCTCTGGTTGATACGTTCCCGGTGGGCATTTCTTTTGTGTTACAGGGCCTTGCAGTACATCAACAATAGCGCATACGTTCGACTTCTTTGAAACAATCTCAGCAGAAGGGAGTCATTCTGCTTAGGGAAGAAAGTACAGACTCATGCGCACGACACGCAACTCCAAAAGGCATGTATAGTGGAAAGTCTGGATATTGCAGGGAACTAATTTGCATCTGCACTCTGGCACTCATGCAGCTGCAGCTCATTTAGTAGTTTGCCGACCTCTAGTCGCGTTGGTGGTTACTGAAACATAAGCTGTGATAGGCTGAGTTCCAGTAACAAAGCGAAATATTATAGACTTTACGCCCCTCATTTCCTCGTCGCTACTATCCATGACGTGACGTATTGACTTGTTGCGATAAGGAAGACGCCGCCTCCTAGCTCCAAGTGTGTAAGACCACGTGGATCCATCGAATCCAGCGAAAGGCCCGCATAGAGTGGAGCAGCCATTCACATGTAGTACGTCAACGCCAAGCAGCCTCTGCATCACACATCCACGGGGGGTCACACTGATCAGCATAGGCCTTTGGAAACTGCCTCTATCTCTCAGAATATTATAAGATTGTACCTACGGAGAGGTTCAGAGTGCAATGTAGGAGCAATCGTAGCTGAGAGTTTGCAATTAGGGAGAGACTTGAAATGATATCTAAGAACGAGTGTAGATCTACTTGTTAATTCTTCTGCATGGGAAGATTTGGGGCATCATCCTACCGTAGGTATGTGGCCACCTTCGAGTTGGATGAGAATGCCGGCCAAGTCTGTCGGCTCGTCTAGGTCTACTACGAAGACTTCTTCTTCCTTTTGACTACCAGCAGCTCGATTCGGGCACTTGGCCTTTCCAGTGCAGCAAGCAGTACTCATGCGGCGTCTGAACCACCCGGATGAGAGGCTTGCACCATTCGCCGATAGCTCCAAGTCGGTATGGGCTTCACGCTTCAACGGCAGCTCCCTATTAATGGGGCGCTTTGCCTGCGCATTAAGTGTCCCTGTTCAGGCAGGAGAAGAGAATTGGAAATCACAGGAACCCCTCTGATGGCTCACTGGAAATTTCGGGCATCCTGCATTCGGGAATGCACGTTGTTTTGTATGCAGGCAGTGGTCAATTGCGCTCCTGCGCCGGGCGCACCTGAATGTGAAGAGCAGTAATGGCCTTTAGAACACTTGTGTTCGGTAGGAGATTTCGACCCTTGGGGACAATAATAGCCTTCAGCACACGGCCCTTCAGGTTCGACAAGTCCAGTGGTGCTGCAGTACATCCCATAGGGGCACTTTATGCACTCAGATTTCGAAGCCGCCCCAGTGTATGGTAGATATGTTCCTGCAACGTCAGCAAGCAGAACTGATTGCGCGCCTTTTGATCATAAGTTCCGCCGAAGTGCCTGATAAGCAGACTGCACTATGCTGCTTTCACATTATTTCCTTAAGCGCATCTACACTGGAATCAAATGGGGTGCTGCCTTTAGGAAAGCCGATATAATCGTACCCTCAGGGCAAGGGACATCCGACACAGCCGAACGAGCATAAAGATTTCCTTGAAGTTCAATTCGGCGTATTCGGTGGGTGTAGCTATCAGCAAGAAGCACCCCTGTTCGCTTATTGTTTTCCTGCACCCGAACAACAAGGGCAACTGCAAAAGCTTAAGGAATCAGGTAGCTATATCTCGACAAGAAATGTATTCATACTCGGGTGCCAGCGCTAGCCTTACCCCGTAGAAGCTGCTAATTCCATAAAACGCTTCTTCTATGCCCGTTGTGGCAATGCTTTTCTCTGCGTCGTTAACCACTGGCGACCGCCAGGCGGAGTAATCTATTAGTGTCGATATAGTATTTGTTTGAAGATCTATCTTTCTGAGGCTGCAAGGAAAGGCAAACAGCCGAAAACGCAACACTATCGAGTTCGTGTGCCAATTCGAACCATTGATGCTTCAAGGAGGGAGATCTGGGGAGGTTGTCTTGGTTTCTTCCCTTTTCGCTTACGCTCGAGCATCAAGATCAGCAACAACCAGCACTATGTCACTCTGCACAACGCACCAGGCACACTGTTTCCAGATCTTGTAGTTTTTCTAAGCAATAGGATAAAGTGATTGAGCACGTGAGCTGGGTGTTTGAGTACCTCCCGATCAACGATCGCTGCTGAGACCGGCCTCTCGAAGATGACTCCTGAGGAGTTGCTGCTTTGGCCCTTCGTGATGCTAGCACCGCTTCCAGGAAGCTCCTTGACAACGTTTGAGCTTGTGTCCACCTCCAACACCTAGGAACAGGAATTACGCCATCTTATGGCGGCATTATTTGCTAAATGTCGTAATAACTGTTTTCTCGACTGCCGGAAATACGCAAAAACATCAGCCTCCACGCAAACTGCCTGTACCTTGTGTTTTCATCTGCAACCCTGGGTTGAACGCGAGCACGGTAGAGCGCTTATAACCTACCCGCTTATTTCCAGAATCTACGACGTAGACTTTGGCATTGTAGAGCGCCACCCCGGAGGGCATATTAATCTGAAATGAACTGGGAGCAACGTTTGACGTAGCATCGCTTTTCCCTAAGAGCAGCATTCGTAAGGCCACATAACCCACCGTTGGGTTCCTATGCTCAGGAACTTTATTGTTAAAAGGCTTGATAGACCTGGAGGAACGGACCTGCTGTGCCAGTTCCGATAACGGTATTTGTGTCTTGCGCTTCAGCAAGCTTGTGTTTCACCACACGATGGTTCCCACTGTCAGCAATGTAAAGGAAGCTGCAATCTGCATCGATATCTAGGCCCAATGGCTTTGAAATTTGAGTGCTAATTTTGCTCATCAATGCGGAGGAGCGCAGTGCCACATCGTGTTCAACGATGGCGTTTCTCCCTGAAGCAAAACAATTATCTACGCATTTCCCCTAGATAGGTCACTGTTACTCTTGAGAGTGAAAGGACTTCAGAAAAACCAGTAGGCCGAAATCGCAAAGAGGGACGAACCCGGATAGGATATGTAGAGCTTCCTGGTGCTTGTGCAGAATGCAAGGCCGACAGGGCTGGTACTTCGGACCCAGCTAAGCGTTCCACTTACAGAAGCTGCGGACACTATGGTTTCTACAATGCCTATAGAAGCGCACGCAGGAGGATCTGGCTTGATAAGGTGCCATGTTGTGTGGAAAGCTTGGCCCACTTGAGATATCCTCTGTTGAGATCTACAGACCTGTCTCTCCATGGACAACCTTCACAGCATAATTGCTGTAGTCCGCAAAGTATATGTCGCCAGTAGCTGAATCCATTCTAGCATTTGCGGGGAGCATCAAAAGCGTTTCTGGGCCTGGGAGTCCATCGCCTCCACTGCCGGCAAAGCCTGTCCCCGCAATTAAAGGGGACTCAGCTGAGAAAGAACCAGAAGACACTGGAAATTTGCCGTCGGTTCAACAGTGTACGTACTTGCATCTACGAAGTAAAATGCCACTAGAATTCACCATATTCGGCCTAAAGGCAATGGGTAAGCAACCACCGAGCAACGATGGTTTTTTGTCTCACGGCGTGGGCAGTAATGCCCTTTACGGCAAGGCCTCCCACTCATTTTCTCCTCGCAGGCCGTTCCATTTTCCTCCCCGGTTGGCCTGGGACTGGTCGACCTAGAAGTGCAGATGAATCCTCCACTGCAGGGGCCCGAAGGCTCCGCGAGCTTTATGGTGTTACAGAAATGATTGGGTGGGCAGTCTTGGGGAGCTGCCGACCCAGGCGGACACACTTCTCCATGTTTGCAAAATGTCGTGGGCTCCTTCCATTTGGTCCCGGCCGGGCAGTAATATCCTTCCAGTGCACACGGATACGCAGGATCGCATAAAACCTGACAAATCTGGCCCTAGAGGGTAGGGCGCCACGTACGCCATGCAAAAAAGTTCAGTGAAGCTGGTGGGCGCGTCACCATTCAGACAACGTACCAGCCATACACTCCCCACTAGGGGCATTGCTTGCTGGTTTGTCACAATACGAGCCTTCTGGGCAAGACGCGCAGCTGCCAGACCGATCCGAATAAGTCCCCGGAGGACAAGGGAATGACGTTTTGACGGAAGTTCCCTCTGGACATGTAAACCCAAGTGGGCATGTTTCTCCTTCTGTACTGCCTTCGCCGCATATCTCTCCTAAAGGGAGTCGCATGGGAGAATGTGACAAAGAGCTTACCCCTCATACGTTCGTATGGGGCTTTCTGCGCTGGCTGCAACTTCCTCCAAACTCCTACACACAGTCTATTCAGAGCCGTGCTAAATATCCTTAAACATTGCCACAGTCGGACACTATTCATGCTTGCAAGCCTACGAATGAGTGCTCGGCAGGCGCACCGGCATCACAGCTAATACAGGATGCTTGACCTTCACCGGGTTGCTTTGTACCACGAGGGCATGGCACAGGAGCTGCGCTGCCCTCGGGGCACATATGGCCAGTAGTGCAATCCTTAGCGTTAGTAGGGCTGTCTGTGCCTTCAGGGCAATATTTCCCTGCGGCAAGAAACATCGCAGAGCGCGACACCGCTGTTCTGTCCCAACTAAGGGTTGAAAGGGAAAAACGACAACCATTAGGGCAGATGAAGGCAGATGTCTGCTGCATGGGTATGAATGCATCACATCTGGTTATTAAAAGGTTCTTCGAAATGGTTTAGCTACTCCACACACGAGGTTACCAAGCCGTTCGTCGGCTGCAGTAATCTTTAGTCACGAAAGGGGCTTTTAAGCTGGGGTGCAAGCTTACCTGCTGGGCAAGCGCCAGCTGGGGAGGAAAGACCTGTCGTGTCGCAATAATAACCAGCCGGACATTTTAAGCAGTCGGTATCTGCCGATCCACCTCTGTGAACACACAACCAACCCAAGCAATTTTCCGTAGAGGTGTCTTGAACAAAGTCTTCCCGGAGTGCTACCGCTTGGTATAGTGGGAACTTACAAGCCACCCAGAACTTTTCCGGCGGGACAGGGAGTGGCATCGGTTGCGTGTTGTAGGCAATAATGCCCTGGCGAGCACAATGCCGACGCGTCATGAGGGTTTGAAGAGCCTGCATCAAACAAGCATGCTTGACTGCATGCTGAACGGGAACCGCCTTTTTGCAAACTCTCCCCCAAGCACGTACTGCAGAATATTCTGGGTCACTGACCCTCTGGACAGAGGTATCCCGCCGGGCACTCGTCAGAAGGTTCTATGAGGCCGTGAAGTGCGCAATACGACCCTTGGGGGCATTGCTTTGGCTCAGTCGATCCCAGTGGACAGTAGGTTCCTGGCTTGCACATGCCTCCAAGAGTGCAGTGCTTCGGGTGAAAAAAGCTGAGCTTTTCGTCACCAACCCTGCTAAAATTCCCGCACCTGCATGAGCACAATGTTCACGGCAGAAGTGGGTTAATGGCCAGTCACTGTTTTGCGTTAGCATGAGTTGTCAAATCGTATTTCGAATGTGGAATGAAGGCGCCTTACTCATGCGGAAACTGTGAAAATATTGCAAATGACCACATACAAAATTGACATTAGCAAGGTGACGGCGGCCTCCCATGACAAATAGTGATTCAGGCCTGGAAGCTTGAAGTTCTCTAAGCTCACCGGAGCAAAAATGTTTTTTCTGGTGTTTCGACAATCCCTTGGCATTCGTCACTTTCTAGGCATTTGGCCGTGGCAGCGGAAAAAGAGAGTATTGGTGATTCTAGTCCTTTGCACGCTGTCGTCCGCACACCAGCAAGCGCCGCCAGTATCCTACATCCTGATGGGGAACACGCCAAAAATACAGGGAACCGTTATCGACCCACTCTGTTTACAGGTTGGCACGGATGGGCTCGCTCTACGGGGACGCTGCACTGAAAAGCTGGATACTTCACCTGGGACTGGCTTAGCAGACAAAGCACCGCTGATGCTATAAAAGCCGCCATCAACTTGTCCAGTTTCCACAAAGGCTGCTGGACCAGCACAGTAGTAACCTGCTTTGCACGGCGTGCAGTCATCTAGCGAAGTGGCGCCCTTTTCCGTGTTTATCGTCCCTATCAACGCGTCCGACAAGTACAAAGATGCATCACAGAGAACGCTGCTGTCCCGCAGTTGCTGCATATGCCAGGTTCTGCCTTAGAACTTCGAAAACACCTGCTGAAAGCTAGGTGATGCCGAAAAGCTTCGTCCAGCTTGCAGCAGGTGGGCACGCCAGCCAGGCAGCTCATAGACTGTCTGCTGATTGGTATCAGACGGCTTTTTTCCTGAGGGGTCTAACCTATGCTCAATTTAAATGTAGAAGATTGGCTGTCACTGACAGGGAGTACAGTACCTACCCTGGGGGCATGGGTTCTCATGCGAAGATGCAGTGCCTGCTGGACAGAAGTACCCAGCAGGGCACTTTTCATTTTCCGTTGGTGCCTTGAGGGTAGAGGCGCAGAAATAGCCTTCTGGGCACTCGTTGCATCTATCGAGCCCTTTCGTGCTTGCGTATGTACCCTGTGTAGCATGCTCAAGATGCTTGGGTAAGCAAATGCACCACTGACCAAGTGTAGACTTCTCAGAAGGCTGCTCCAGCCTTGGTTTCAGTGCTCACCGGTTTGCAAGGTGTTTGGGAAGCCGATCCCTGAGGACATTCGTGACCTTCGTTGCACTGGATTTTATCGCCGCCTGATTCACACAAAATGATGACCAAACGTCCTAGCTTTACTATGTAAGACTGTCTTTCTTGACCGTGAAGCCCCTGACCGCAGCAAGGGCGACAGAAAAGCATCGAGAGCGTCGCGTTGCATCACTTTTCTTGTGCAGGTCTCTGTACCTGGACAGTAATAGCCGCCGGGGCACGGACCGTCGGGTGCAGAAAGCCCAGTTACAGAGCAAACCCTGAGATATGTCGTAAGAGAAGCCCTTGGTATATTAATAAGCACAAACAATACAAATTCCATTCAACGTACTGGTGTCAACGGTAGTTGGGCATAGTGTAGACGCAGAACGGCTCTCACTTTCCAGGGTCGCAAGGTATGCAAGCACTTTTACTAGTCGCCTGATAAGAAGGGGAATAGGTTCCCACTTCGCATGGCGTAGGTTTGCTGCTGCCCACGCCGCAGTAGTGTCCAACCGGGCAAATTTGATTATTCCCTGTGGTCTCCTGGAAAGCAGCATTTAACGCCCCTTACACACACAGCAATGGCTGCACCTGGACCTCAGCAGCAACCTGTCATTTAGGCTGTACGCCAGAGGAGGAATAGGATGCTGTCTACTGATGCATAGCCGTCGCTACCTGGGGAGCTGATGAGGCGCTGCCGCCTTTGCAGTAGAACCCTGCTTGACAATCTCCAGATGCTGATTTGAGACCTTTGTCTCCGCAGTACTTCCCCTGGGGACAAGACGTGCACGCGGATTCCTCCGCCAGATTCGGAGTTACCGAGTAGGTGCCTGCCGGACACAGCTTGGGGGCGGCACTTCCCTCGGGGCAGTAGAATGCTTGGGGACATTCAGTCCCGGCTACCATACCCTGCGGCAAGCATCGGATACGTGCAGCCTCACTTCTGGATAAACCACCCTTTAGGGAAAGGCAATCAAACCAGGTCCACATCTGCTGCCCAGGAATGGAAACTAGGTTGGTGCACAAAACTAGAGAAAGAGCGAGGCATCCAGGCTGGTGAGTCGGTGTTTTCCTAGCAGCTTGGCTATTTATTGTTTCCGGGTAGGTGCACCGCCTGTATGTCCAACGTTTCCACGGTGCAGCAAGTTAGCCCCTAAATAAATCGAGGGCAGTTACCCATCCCTTCGTACTTCCCTACTAAGACCCACCAGTTGGTGGCAGTACTTTCCTGCAGGACAGCTTTTGCAGGTACCCTGCGCGGTCTCATCCTGGAACGTCCCTGGATAGCAAAGGAGTGGGCTGCTGCTTCCTGCTGGGGCATATGAGCCTTTTGGGGCTTGATTGGCTTGGGCACTTTCAGAGCCCTCCTCACAGAAATATCCCTCTTGGCAGGTTCCAGTAATCCCTCCATCGCTTACCACCTGGCCGTCACAGTATGCACCAAGGGGACACTGTAGGCAAGCAGAAGCGGAACCAGCTCCCCATCGTGGATTGTAGTATCCAGCTAAGCAAGGAGTGACCTTTTCGGCTCCAGCAGGGCAGTATCCTCCAGGAGGGCATTGCTCTCCTGAACCATTCCACATAATACACAGATTTCGCAAAATTACATATCGTAGTACTTTTGTGAAACTGCTGATGGTTGGTTGATTCACCACTCTAAAGCTACCTGTACAGTTGTATGGACCGCTCAGAGAGCGGACAACTCCTACAGAAGATATGTTCACTTTCGGCAGGTTTTGTGGAACTTCCAATTTATGGTGAACTCTCACCTGTCTCCCCATCAGTAGGCGTCGGTGTCGTTGCTCCGCCATGGCAAATAAACCCTGGCTCACACTTTCCTGATGGCTCTGCCAAGCTGGCGATGCTGCAGAACTTCCCGGCGGGGCATGGAGTGCATTCATCTTCTGACTGTAGTCCTTCTTTAGCGCTGAGTGTTGAAGCCACATCTATCGATAGACCCAGAAGCTAACATTGAAGTGAATGTGAGCTCCTTCAAAAAGCCTTACAGAGCAGCACAACAATGCTAGTGAGTGCGACTATCAGATACTATTGGCAGAAATTGATTACCTGTATGTCCCGACAGGGCAAGGAACGACTTTGGAGGAACCCATGGGGCAATAGTACGACGCCGGGCATTCACGTGGCTCTGACGTCCCACTAGTACTGCAATCCTTTCCAGCGGGGCAAGGCAGGCAGTCGTCAACCGATGCTCCCCCTTCGTTGGAATTGTACGTTCTGAAGGAGTGGGCAGAATATCCAAGGGGGCGCCCGAATTCAAAACAGTCAACAGGGCCAGAGATGTGTGGGAAGAGTGAATAAATTCTGTCGACCAGCGCTTCGAAATCCCGTTTATTTATGGCAGAATTGACAGGCATCCTCGTCACAGTCGGTGAATAGGGGAATAGAAGAGGACGATGAAATCGCACAGCACCTACCCTGGAGGGCATGGCACTGCCATTGACGTTGTCGATCGTTCTGGGCAATAGAAACCCTGTTCGTGGGGCACAGGCATGAGAACGTCCACTTCTCAGTAGAACGCTCAACCCGCAGTAAGTGAAGAGCGCTTTTTAAATGTGAAGGCAAATAAAACAGTCCTAGCTTGATGCTGCATTATGCGGTAGCGGTAGACAGGCCGAACCTTTGCGCATTTCCCGCTACCCTCTTCGCTTGTCTCGCCCTCATACGAAAATGCCCCTGCTTTGACGGGTTTGCACTGAGATGCAGACACGAGTCCCCTTTGATTGCTCCAAGTCCCTAGTGGGCAGGGCGTTCCCAAACTGTATGCCGTCCCCAGTGGGCAGTAATGTCCCTCAGGGCACTCGGTCTTAGGCCTTTCTGCGAGCGTACTCATGAAACAAACATTGTGAGTCTGAACAGGTAAGAGGAGTCTTGACGGCCAAACGACCGTCAAGCCTTTGGAAGCGCAACTCAGAAAATCCAAGAGACACAGCCCGAAATATCGGCTGTTAGTGCATTAGATCAGTGCTTCAATGCAACAAATCAAGTCTAAGTAGTCAAGCATTAGCATCGATTGTAGGTAATGCTTTGCTGAGCCTGCACAAACCTACGAAGGCCAGTCGTATCACATGCAAACCCCGCAGTGCATGGTTTTGCCGCCCCAATTGTCAATGCTGAGCCATCACAGTAGTAACCCTGCAAGATCCCATTGCACATGTTTTAAAATATATCAAGATTCTCCCCATTCAAGCCCATAAATTCGAGTGACTGGGGCTAGGAGATCAGTATCGCAAGTTAAATATGACGAGAAAGCTACCTGGCCGGCAAACTGTCTAACCCCACGCAGACTCTTCTAAGTCCGTGCTTTTAACTCTGCTAGCCCTGCTGGGAAGATTAACCTTGGGTCGTTTTTGCCGACTGTGTTGCAGTCTTCAGATGTGAGTGCTACTGCACGGGTGCGGCGGACAACCATCTTACTTGGGGGCAGGCAACACAGTCTCGTGAGTTTCTCTGTGCAACAAACGCTCCGTAGAAGCCAGGCGAACAGGCCACAGGCTGACCAGACGTGCATGTATATCCAATGGGACAAACAACGCATTGTCCGTCCCCAGTTGAGTCGTAATACCAGCCTATAAGTGGCAACAATACATATTCGGAATTCGTGATCAACTGGCAAAGCTGCTGTGTGTTTTGCAGTGAACGTTTACCCGTCACCAAATGCGTATCTTGACTAGTTTTTCAAGGGGTTGAATCACAGCCTATTCCCCTGTTAGCCAGTATTGAAGGAGCAGAGAGTAGGACGGAAAAAATAGAACTATAGTTGGGAACCTAGTTCATGCTTTACTCTTTCTAATCTTAGTTGTGCAAACGTCTTTTGGGTCAATTATGAAGCGCTTTACAGCAAGCTATATCTCTACAGGAGCATCGTTTATAGATTCGTAGGCCTTGGCATACCTTGCGGGCAACTATACGACTCGACGGACCCTTCAGGACATATTTTGTTTGTAGGACAGGCTGCACAGTCAGTCAGTTGCTGTTGCAGAGAAATCACAGAAGAAATAAGAAGGCGCACAATGTCGCCATGGACCCTTCAGGACAAATTTTGTTTCTAGGGCAACGTAAACAGTCATTCAGTAGCTGTTGCAGATAACCCACGAAAGAAACATAAAAACCCAGATTGCGTAAGACCTAGCTACGCAGACGTGCGACTCTGCTGACCCCGCTCATGACAGTTGAGAAAGTCTTCCTCGGACATGGGATAGGCTCCGTGCTTCCGGGAGGGCAGTAGTTTCCACGACCACAAGGAGTTGAAGCCAGGGAGCCAGGAGGCGCCCAATATCCGGCAGGCGTGGGAGTGCATACATCGCTGCTCGTTGCGCTCACAGTAGTTGAGATTGTACCGGCAGGACAAGGGTACATAGTGGCAGCCCACGACCCTGAAGCAAATAGAAGTGAACATTACAGGTTGCATGGCGCCTTAGCTGAAGAAAGGTCCGCTTCAACATACTTGCCGGTAAACTTAGGGCGCAATATAGCAATAATGGCTCTCCTTGACAAAATAATTTGCAAACTGCGCAGTTGAGCAGGCCCCAATGAGAATTCAAACTGGGCTACCTTCAGGACAGTAAAATCCTTGAGGGCAGTTTGATTTTCCCGTGCTACTACATACCTGAGCCAAAACAGTCAACTCATTGTGTCTGAGCGTTCCATGTGATTGATGTCTTACCAAAATGACTGGCTGCTCTATCAATAGAAATGTCTGTGGCTCAGGTTTCGTTCCAGGGTTTTCAACTTACGCTTCCAGCGCTGCAAAAGGTGCAACTTGAGTATGTATCGATCTGTTGCTTGTTGCCCTCTGTTCCGGGGGGACAGGGGAATTTTGTCGAGGTCGACGATCCCCTTGGGCAGAAATATCCAGCAGGGCAGCTGCACAGTCGTCAAACATGGCTAGAATAACAATTTACGCTATGAGAAAGCCTATATCGCAACCATCTGGTGGTATCTGCAATGAGATACTCCGTGTATACTATGCACCTGTTGTAGTCCCAAGTTAAACTAGTACTACATGCTGTTACGGTTGCAGCAGCTGTTCTTACATCGATGATGAAGCGGGAACTCGGCCGCCAGCGCACGTTTTTCCTGACGGGCAACTTAAGCAGCTTCCGTATCCCTCCATGCTAAATAGTCCATTATCGGTGCCCCAGAGGTCATCCGGATGCTGGGTACCTTCGGGGCAAGTTCCGGAATTTTGATAGCTTGATCCGGAGTAGACGATGAACTCTCCAGGTTGCCGTCCACACGAGTCTAACCTCTCAGCTAAGTTATAAAAGTTCAAACAGATATATATATTAACAGACTTGCATATAGTATGACACAGTTCCCAGACGGTAAAACTGGGTGGACGACACTAGGAAGTTGTTGGAGGAAAGCTACCCAAGTTGGTTGGCTGAGAGGTGTGTAGCCTACATTTCGACGCGCCCATGATAGAAGAGTACCGACAGGGCAAAGGCCCAATTTCCTTGCTGCAGTAAAACCAAGAACTACATGCTTCACAAGCTGTTGCGCCTATTTGCGAAGTACGATATCCCGATGCGCAGGGACGGCACTGTGTATCAGTTGACCCTTGGGTTGGCTGGTAGAAATCTGCTCAGAAGCAAGACCCACAAAAGCGGCAGAGTGAGGTGGTCCGTGTTCCTACTAAACCGGCGTCGAGATACTTCCTCAACTTTAGCTGTCTATCGGTGATTAAATGATATGCATCTGGCCGGTGTGCAACTAGAGTAACCCGTAACTACACCATAAAACACTTTTGTTCTCCGCCAAGCAATCCTTACTCCATGGGCATGCAACTGCACTCGGTAGACAAATGTAGCCTGCAGGGCACAGTTCCGCCGAAGATCTAAGGAACTCCCCTCCTTCATCCTTCATCTCGCACATGTACCCGGAAGGACATGGGGAGCAGTTTTGCTCGCTAGTGGCTCCAGGTATCAAGCCCAGAGTGCCACTGGGACAGGGGTGAACCTGAGCATCGCGTTCTGAGCGATAGTATCTGCGCATGCAAAGGCCCATAGCTTACACGTTGTTAAAGCATGAGGATGCAGTGCTTGCAGGAGTAGGGAGCAATGCCAACATGAACTTGCATTAAAAAGGCATAGGATACTAATCCCATGTGCTCACCCGATGGGTACTAAGTCTCCTTCATCCGGTGCCGTCGCTCCGCCTTTGCAAAGATAACCACCTTTGCATAGGCGGCACACACCTTCACCAAGTCTTGCATAGTGAAAGTCTGGGCATCGTACGACGTTTCCATCACTACAGGAGTGTCCTGAAGATGCAAAAAACAACTGTGGTAGACGACACTCTCACGAGTTTTGCCGAGCTTGTGGACTGCTCTCCAGATAGTCGAAAAGTAAAAGTTGTGCCAGTTTATAGCTGCATGTTTGCTGTGGCTATCTGAAGGCATTTTGTCCATTAACGGTTGTTTTCGCTCATCTGTGCACAAGATTTTGGCTCTCTACTCATTCCTGCTTTTCGATCAACTGCAGCAAACTNTCTCATTTTCACTGAGCACTACCAAACAATGAACACTTAATGGGAAGCGTACCTGCAGGGCACGGCACGCACTCTGTAGGATCATCGGGGAGAGCCACTGTAAAGGGTACAAAACAATGTTCCCTAGTGAACGGAGTTGGACACGCCACTGCTCCCCCGCACGGAATGCAGTCCCCGTCGCCCTACAGACGCCCAATCAGCTAGCACGTCAAAAGTGGACCCTAGCAATGCCCGCACGTTTCAGTTTCATTGCAAAGTCACAAATGTATAGCCACTGCAACGCTTTGTCTCACTTCTCCTGAGAAGTATCCCACTTTGCAGGGGAGAAGTAGCTCCACAATAGGTTGTTCTACGATGTCAACATGGGAGCTGGTGCCCCTTTGGTCCCCTCGGAAGTTAATTCTTGCTCGGCTGCCGATCAGTCCAACTTCTGTGGGCTTGTCGTCGAAAGAGTTGGGCTCACTGTCCCATTGAACGGTGCAGGCGAATCCCGCCGGGCACGGCCGGCAAGCATGCTCCCCCCGCAGGCTATATGTACCTTCAGGGCAAGCCTGTTGTCAACCCAAAATAAGGTAACCAAAGTTTCGAATATTACTCTCCCAATCAGAAGAGTACATCGCCGAGTCATGTTGCCAATGCCTTCGAATTGCTTAGGGGGCTTTGAATTCCTTATATTAACCCAATAACTTAAATATGCTTATATCACTATGAGAAGCGGCATTTCAGCTGAGGACCATGCACTGAATTTTCAAGTATAGGATTGAGTGTAGCCCAGGAGCGAAATTCAGTCCCTGTTGATTCACCTCCAAGTCCATGGATCGGCCGGTCTTGCATTTAAAACCCGCAGGACAAGGGATGCACTCGCTTGCGCCTTTGTCGCTAACATATCCTGGCAAGCAAGGTACCGGCGACGCTGATCCTCCGGCGCAGTAAAATCCTTCGGGGCAAGGTATAGCAGCATTTGCGCTGGCGCGTACATCGTTGCCCTCTACTGATATACCATGATAAAACCCCGGTCTGAGTTCTTTCGGAACAGCCGTTCCCTCAGGGCATGTGAAACCTGGGTTGAAGCATCCGCAAGCAGCAGGTGTCCTGTTTGGATTGGCTTCCCATACGCAAGCAGTCTAGCCGAAGCTTTGCAACAGCCTTGTCGTAAAAGAATACCTCTCCACGACGGTCCTGCTTACCTTCAGGACACGGCAGGCAGGACAGGAAGCCTCCCAGTGACATATGCTCTGGAGGACACGGTTTGGGGGCAACCTTGGGATCGGGGCACTCGTAGCCCGGAGGGCAGGGCAAACATTCAACGATGCCATTTGCCGTGCTGCAGTATCATACGCAAATGCCCAGTTTCAAGTACTTCGCTCCTTGAAGGTTTGCTGACGGCAAACTCTGCAATGCTTGGGCGCTCGGAAGGCATCCAAAATTCCTATTTCTTGACGCACCGCAAGTAATGTGCTCCAACGCAGGTAACAAGTGATGGAGTAGTTGCTTGGCCATCGTGGTCGCCATCCGCTAAACTTTGACTTGAAATGCGGTTGATTGCAAGAGGTATTCCAAAACCACGCATGGCTAACACGTGTTGTTGCGCAGTAGATTTTCCCTCTGGGAGGAAGGAGCAGTTCCACACATCTCTAAAAGAACTTTTAGGGACGCGACAGTCGAAATCGCTGGAAAGGCAGACAAGGCGCCAAGTATGTAGCTCGCAGTCTCACCTGTATTGTAGTTTGGATCTTCCGAAGTTGCCTGCAAACTGCAGGAAGTGTGAAATATTGCGTCATTTGCGTCTGCATGAAAAAATACCGAAGCACAAGCGTCCCTTTAAAAATGTTTAACCGGGTGAAGTCTGACCGCGAGAGATTCAACGAAACTAAAAGTGGAAAACTCGGACTTTCGAAGCAACCAGGCGCATTCACATACTGTTTTGAGCCGCCGAGTTGTCGGAAGCTTCTTTGGCAATTTCGAGGCGTAGTAGAAACTCGTGTTCAGCCTGCCAGTTCGTAGGTTTGACGGTAACGTTACCCAGGTCTACGCTGTCATTTAAACTCAAAGTAGGAGAGGCGTCGTCGAGCTGCTGATCACGTCCTAACTGGGCAATAATTCGAGCCCCTTCGCAGTGCAGCTGCAGGCTAACGTCAGCCACCGGTTGGGAGCGGAGCCGGAAAGCCAGCTTAAAGTGTTCAGATTCAACAAGTTGGTTTGAATTTGCCTTCCAATCGACCTGCAAAGGACCCGTCTCACAGCATCATATTGCTGATGAACATTGCGAACAAGTTCACTCCATTTGCAGCCTACCCAAAGCTACAGCTGCATGAGAGAAGATCTTAACATAAAATGGAGAATTCATGCCAGCTGATGTCTGTCCTACCCCTGCAATGTCATCGTCCCAGACTGAAAACGCCAATTCTTTGCCGCCCCGCATGGACCAGGCGTGATCCTTCTCACTGCTGGATACTTCGTGGCGTAGCATCAGAGTTCGAATGGAGTTTCCGACAATGCTTCCTTCAAATGAGAGCTCATCCTATGCACCGGTTCAGAAAAACGCCTACATTTGATATGGTTGTTAACCGCCCCATGCCGGATGTCGCTTGGCCTCTGGAGTGGTTAGGTATGCTTATTGTGTATTGAACTGGCAGCATTTTCAATGCCTACACCAATTGGAGCGATATCATCCTGTTCAACCTTCAGCAAAACTGTCTTTTCTTGTTGCCAGTCACTCGCACTAAAATGCAGAAGGTCTGGTTGTACAGAATAGCCGCCGCTGCGGTCGCCGTAAATGCGGATCTCGACCTCTTCGTTTTCAAGCGGGCAGGCAGAGAGGCGCAGGGTGTAGGCAATCTGAATATGCAGCCAACGTACATCCGGTACAGAGAGTCATTTTAAGCGTCAGCGAGGATTTGTACTCCATCTGCATCTACCAAGGAGCCAGAGGCCTTTTTACTACGTCACTACGGTCGTCGCTAACGGGTTATGCACTGGGAAGAAAGTCGCAAACCGGACTCTGTCGGAGGGCGTGCTCACCATTTCCCCTTCTCGAACAAGCTGCTGCTGGGGAAACCCAGCCAGTACTTCGTTAAAATCGCTATCCTTGGCGTACACAGTAAGGTCCTTAGGCCCAGGAAAAAAGCTTACGCTTACTCCAGGTGCAGGCGCTGGTGAGGGGAGATCAAATACTACAACGGTCGACGACCAAGACGGGTCATCAGAAACCACGTCAAGCTCAATAGAAAAGGCCCCAATGTGTATGCCAGACAGAGGGTGGGACAGCCCTTCACTCCCAACGATCACACCAGGGCTCCACGGCTGCAAACGAGCAATGTGTAGCAGCCACCGCAACGGAGTCCCCAGCACATTCTCTGCCAACAAACCGGTCCGATAAGATTTAAGAGTTGGGCAGCTTCTTGTATCTTGTTTCAGTTGACAAGCAAGTAGGGCGACGAGTAATTAGGCAACTGCCACTGGCCTACCAGGACATAAAATATTTGGGGATACGCCGCATTCTCTACAGAAAATACTAAGCGAGCCGGCTCAACTTTCAAGTACTTTGCCCCATCCTCTCGGGTCAATCCGCGCAGAGGAGCCAATAAAGCGATCTTCCTAACTTCCACCGAAACGGGTTCTTGAGGTGCTCCAAAGCTCCAGTCCTTTGGCTTCAGTGAGACCTGCAACTGTCCCCAGTATTCACGCGACGGCACTTCACCATCGCTTTCCTCTGTAACGCGACGCTCGACCAACAGAGGTATAGGACGAACGTGCAGCCTTGAGGCTGAAGCCACTTGGATTACCGCTGACGAGCTTGGTGTGTCTTTTCCGCACAACGAGCATGACACCTAGAATCGCCACATAGCATCACGAAATCATATGGGTGTGTGGAGCAGGTTAACAGTCCAACACAAGGTTAAACCGTTTGCAACAGAATTATCTTGCAATGTGACCCAGTGCCTGCTGCGCAGCCTTTTGCGACAGGTTATTGCAAAGGCTCGCCTTGAGTGAGACTTCTCCAGGCTCGAGAAACCAAAGTCCTTCAAACACTACTTGCCCACCTCCCCAAGCCTGAGTAGTTTGACCGTGCAGAGGGACCCTCTGCCCAGCCTTGTTGAAGGCCCTCAGGTGAACTTCCACGGGATTGCCTTTCCTTTGCAGTTCAGGAGGGCTGGTCGTCTCATTTCCATATAAGTCCACAAGAACCGCCACAACACTAAACGGTTCGCGAATCAGCACTTTTGAAGGGGGCCTTAAGGTGAAACTGGCTGCGGAGGCAGGCCCGGGGACTACCTCAAAAGGAGCCGAGGACACTTCAAGGCGGGTGTCCTGCCACAGCGTTGTCACGAACTGAATCATATGTTGGCCTGCCTTGGTTACGCGGATGTCACTGGCTCTGGCGTAACCGAATTCGTCCGTTTCCAGAGTCCAAGAATTCAAAGGGACTGCGCAAATGGGCGAAGAATTGGACGGTGTGTGGTTGTGACTCGTCAACACAACCAAGAAGAAGTGTTCGACCAGTGAAACCCAGTGCGCAAAAAGGGACGCTTTCAAGTTTAATCCGGTCTTACGAAAACACGACTAATCAACTCAGCAGGTATTCCTTACCCGTTTCCTTTGTATGGGGATCTATGGGGAGGACGTTGGCTACTATTGTACTCTTCACATGTAGCGGCCTTCCATCTCGGTTCGCCAGCTGCACAGCAGGCTGGTATTCCAAGAGTGTTCCACTGGTCGCCCCTGAGGGCTGTGACGTGACCTTAAGAACTGCATGCGTTCCTGCTGAAAAATGGTGCTTCTCTGTATTGAGTTTGTGGTTACAGCCTCCGCAGGTGATGCTAAACCGATAGTTTCCGTCAGCGGGAGGACTGAAGTGCAGAACGGCAACTCCTGTAAACGCCCAAACATAAGATGAAATAGTACTTCCTGAATTCCCCCCGTGTACTTAGATGGCAACCAGGTATTCGCTTGTTCGTAGAAACCTGCAGTGTACATAGCACAATCCAGGGATCTCTCCTGCAGTCGCATTTTCTGGAAATGAATCTAAGCAAACTGCAGCGTACCGCCAGTCGCGACGCTTGATGCTATGCCGACTGCTCTTTCAGATACTACTCCCTCTTGGTTTTCCAACGGAACGTCTTCGGACCTCTCCGGAATTTCGTCTGAATCTGCTAAAATGAGGGAGGCAGCTACACCGCCATTGTATCTCGTGTTAACCTTTCCATTCGATCCCAGAACCTCCACTCTCACTTCTACCCACTTTGTCCCCTCTGGATTAAATTGAATTTGTCGTGCTTTCACAAGCATTTCTGGCCGTTCATTCTCGTTTTGTGCTTTGCCCTCGTCCTCAGCAACATCGCGTTCCGCTCCAGCTGCTTTTACCTCAGAATTTGGCTGCGCATGCAAGGGGGTTGGTTTCGAACCCGATTGTGCAGCGGAGGCAGGTTCTCTTCGTCTGTATCCCGCCTTTGGGAGCGCAGAAATTGCGGACTGCTGCTGGCGAGCAGGAAAATCCTTGCCAACGCCACTGCCTAATTCGACTTCCGCTAGCGTTGCACACGATAGGCCTAAGAAGCAGCCTACCAGCAATAGACAAAAAGTAAGAAACGCGTGCTTGGTTTTCGTTCGGCTGTGTAGCCCAAAGGGCAGGCTGCTGCCTCCACCCAACGCCTGAGCTCCGTGTGGCATCATTAGTGAGTACAGCCTGGAATGCCCCCCCCCCCGGCGTTTTGTCAAGTTCGAACAAGGGTCCTTTGGAAAGCCCTAACACTTGGACAACTATAATACGTGAATATTCAGAAATTACAGAGGTTTTCCCAGTGCAGCGAGGGACTGCGACCCCCCCCTAGAAGCGAACTGGGACACAATTTGGTGCAGAACATATCCTGTGGCCGTTCGTCTTCAAGCACAAAAAGTATTCATTTCGGGATGTTTTGGGTATTAACCTGCATTTCTTGTCCTGTGTCTGCCCATAAACGAAGCAATTATGCTATGTGCCTGGTTAAATTGTCATGTGGCCACGCTAACTACGTTTTCGCCCGTCCTCTCCGATCGATGTCCCTCGTTGCGCTCTTGGGATCCCCTACCGGCACAATGTAGTTGCTTTATGTAAACAGGCTTGGCAGCGTCTAACAGTATAAGCGCCACACCGCCACAGGCAGCCTCAATGAAATCTAGGGACACCAGACTCAGTCCACGGCAATTGGAGCAGCGTAGCCACTGGGCCTGAGTCGCTCTGTGAGGGTATCAACGACTACCAAAACATCTAGAATTTATGCAAAAAGCTATTGATTTGGCCTAGGAGGGCTCCCCACCTCGTGAAGACTGACCCAAGACAGAACACGGTGGGCAGGAGGAGCCACCAGTGGACTGCAGGGGGCCCAGTCCCCACCCACGCCAGTGTAACGAGTGAAATGCACTCCATATCATATTAGCTTAAAATTTAGAAGGTCCAAATGTCTCTTTCAGGCGAATCGAACGCCAAACCCCACGGTCGGCCGCCCGCAGGTGACCTTAGCTCCCCTCTAGGCCAACGTGACGCGTTGCATAGCTTGAGCAGAGGCGTCTTCCCAGATGCCTAGCCATCGGACTCTCCTCTGCAGCATTTTTCAAAAATAGAGGCACGACTCTGCAGAACCAAACTGGCTGGAGTCACCAATGAAGTACACAGTACTTCATTGGCGTTGTGACTACCGTCACAACGGCGGCGAAGCGACAACCTGAATCCGTAAATTTTCGCTCGTTTCACAGCAGAACGTGTGGTGAAGGCAATAAGAGTTAGCAAACCCACCTTGCTAACAGCATATGGTTGTCTTAAACTTGCATCATTGCAATGTAGCCTTTGTTGCCTCCTTTGACCCGAGGGTTACGGCCGAGACTGGTTTTGGATACAACTTTCCGAATGAGAAACACCGACGACAAGCCCTCAGGATTTTCCAAGTGCATACTGAAAAACTACAGCTCCCTTGGGGAAAGCCAGACATTAGCGGTAGCTGTGCCGCTGAAACGAGCCAATTCTCCGATATCGTGTGGCTTACTTGGGCTCTGGAACGGTAGGCGCATCTATAGTCGCAGATGGAGCGCTTTATTTTCCATGATTCCGGGAACACGCATCTTTCGGTAGAGTCTAGCGGATTGTGGGACTTAGGCAGATGGAAAATGCTTCTCTTTCAGCAGCTTTCGGTAACTGCAACGCTTGCCCCCTATGGTAGGCGAGGGTTGTCTTGAGCCGCAATACAGTGAAGTACTCAATGCAGGAACTCCTTAAGAGCAGTTGACCTCATTTTCCGCAAGTTTAGAGGCTCCCTGAGCTCAGTGGCTTAAGGGCCTGAGGCTGATGCGGCCAGGAAGCGGCCTGCCATCAGCCCAGGACGGCCGTAAACTGTGGAAAATCAGGTAGACTGCTCTTGAGGAGCTCGTCAATTGAGTACTTGACTATATTGGTGTTCAATAGAGTACACCTCTGCAACTCCTGCTGCAAGGAAACCGAGCATGGAAGCATAAGGCGCCCCTTTGCTGGGTGAGCTGACGTGGGTGCACCATAGCTATTGACGGTAAGTGATTAACAGTTGTCTACGGCATTGAAACGCACGTATCAGCTTCAGAGACACAACACAGTAGGTTATTGTTGTTGCCGTGCACGTTTAGCCTCTGAGATGTAGGCACCGGCTAACTGTCCTGCTTTATGTAACTACGTGCAATNTGCCGTGCACGTTTAGCCTCTGAGATGTAGGCACCGGCTAACTGTCCTGCTTTATGTAACTACGTGCAATTGACTCCTCGCGAGTGCACTTTCGCATACGGGAGGTACAGCTTTGGCAACTTCAGCAGAAAAAAAGCTCCCCACTGCTGAAGCAGCACCATTACCCTCCATTGTCTGCCGAGCGCTCACTACTCTTCTTTAAACAACTGGAAAACTTTTCCAAAGACCGTGTCCTACGTACACTTAATAATTCCTCTTCCAGCGAGCTGCACGCCCCTGCTTCGCCTCAGCTGGGCAGCTTGACTCCCCACTTGCTTCGCAAAGCGTGATATTTTTAGGCCTTATATGGCCGCCCACCCTCTATAATATGAGCACTCCTGAAACGCTGAGTTGAAATCACTATATAGGTTAGTCATCCCAGCTTATAATGTAGGGTGTGGAGTCACTACGAATCAATCGGCGGCACACTGCAGGCATGTAGGTATATATATATATATATATAAATATATATATATATATATATATATATATATATATATATATATATATATATATTGTAGAGCACAGTAGGTTGGGTTTGTTGTTGCGTTTGCCCACTACAACTCCCAAAACACGTTCAACTCTCCGAATATGCGAGCAATTCCCATGCGCTTGGTTTGTCGTAACTGTTCATTCTAACACTTCCGCCACTAGGCTATCTTCGGCTGTTGCAGCTCAGCCAACAGCATAGCCTAAACGCGCAAACGTTATAGCGAGACCGCATCCGCCGATGCAAAACGCACTCGAAACATCTATGCCTGGAACTCTACGGACCCTACACAAATATTCGAAGGCAGAAGACAACTGCATTTCTAGAATTGTACCTCAATGCCTCTAGAGCCTCCACTCGTCTGCTCAGTCGTCTGGTGTTCCCCTCCACAGCCCTGCACAGAAACGCCTAACTACCAGAATTTAACGCCAAGTGGACTGCAAACTATTATTTCTACCGCCATGACGTCCAACACCTTAACGCGCGACCGTGCGTCATGATGACCTTTTACGCACCACTGTCTTCGGGCTGAAGCAAATCGTCCAGTTGCAGCCGACGAAGAGGCTTGCAAACCCGTTATGTCTCAGTACTAATTAGTTGCAGTACGTGAGCATCGGCGTGGATCTTTTCTGATCCCAAAACTCAGTTCGTGTTAGCCGTACAGTAAGGAGACGGTTGGAGTCGGTTATATGAAATGCCCTGTTATACCTTACTTCCTCCAACTATTGAGGCGATTTACACCGCCTACTACTGAGGCGAGATACACAGACAGCTAACGCCAGCTGCCCCGTTGGCTGTGCTGTCAGGTGAGGTTCGGTGTGTACTGAACGCACTTGACACCAGCAAATGGAACCTAGACACTGCAGTGATGTGGCTGGCGCCCTGTTGACTGAACGAACAGAAAAGGCGAACAGCTCGGTGGGTCAACTCCCTGCGTGCGAAGTGTATAAAAACAAAACAAATGAGATGGAAAGGACAAATTTTCCCCTCCCTAACTAATCACTGACTGCTAGTCTACCTCTATGTCTGAGTGCTACAATTTTATCATCAATCCGGCCTCTCGACAATGCGATTTGCGACTCAGTATTGATACACGGCATAAGCGGTGGCGACACAGAATATTGATGAGTTCCTATAGACCGCGCTTGCCATTGAATCCGTCTTGCTATCCCAGAAGCAGCGAGAGCCTACTCGAATACCCTGCCCGCAGTCCTCCCCGAGATCGACGGTGACTCCTATCCTGTACCTGGGTTTGGATAAAGCGGTTAGAGCATCGCGAAGGGACGCTCCTAGGTTCTTTGCGAGCTGAGGTGCATGATCAGCTGAGTAGACTTCTCCTCTTAGTCTAGACTGAAGCAAAGATGTCATTGCCTCCTCCGCTGCCTTTACGGGGAATCGATGATTTAGTGGCAGAACGACGGAGGAAGGTTCGTCCAACTGTTTCTGCGGAGCAGTATCTACTCTTGCCATTTCTTCCACGTAAGGCGATCTCCCTCTAACAAAATGCTGTAGACAATGAATCGAAGTTTGCCACGAGTCACACAGTGGAAGGGACAGTGGAAGGACGATTTGGATGATCAACAGCCCCCAAGGAGGCAGCTACCAAAGAATTGAAGCAGAAAAGCAATCCAAGGCAATTTAGGGTAGAACTAGATGTCAATATCCCCAAAGTTTCTTTTCTTCATGATTAGACCCACGGGCAATGACTACGGTGGGCACGCCCACCCGTGCAGCTTAACGTGCCGAACGCTCCCACTGCACCACCGGCAACAACGGCAGTGCTTCGCGTCTCACGAAGTGAACGGGGATAACTAGGGCATTACTCGTGATACAAGCTGAGGGAATTGTTTTACAGTTATAAAGCACACAGGTGCATCGTCGTAACAGAACCAATCTTCAGCACCGAAGAGTGTCTACGTGAGTGCGTCGCTGTGGTGATGACCATCAAGACTCGCTGAATCATGCATTCTTTCAAACGCAGCTTCATTTTATCAAGGTGTTAAGCATATCCGAGGAGAAGGAATAAAAGTTTGCCTGAGTACAGGAAACCAATAGGGAGCGTGTTTAAAGCGGAACGCTGCAGTTCTCATTGACGCGACAGTCCCAGTAACGCAGTTGTCTTTACGTACGATAGGCAGCATCTCCTTGAGACCATTTCCTTGGGCTTATGCACTAAAACTGTTTATTGTGGGAGGAAATTGTCCCAGTTAAGCATAACTTTCCCCTCACGAAACAGGTGGCGTTACTTGCTTGCCCTTGCCGTGCACATGGATCTCCAGAACGGACTAGCTGATATGGTTTGTTTGTGGTCTTTCCAGTTTGTCCAATTGTAGCATAAGTTTCACACATATAATTTATCAGGGAATCTACCTCGAACACAGGAAAAGGACTGGTGCATTTCCCCGTGATGGCAGGCGTGTAAGGACATCATGTAGCCTCGTCTCCCAAAAGATGACACACGAGCCTTGGCTTGGCCTGGGGAGTTTGCATGCAAGATAATACACACGCTCAATGAGTGTATTCAGAGGTTAATCATCCAGTAGAGGAAGCTCCGTTTACGCTTCTTTCTATTGGCGCGAGAGGCCGGCTGGTATTACCAGCCGCAGCGAGGTGCGCGGCGACCCCATTTGTGGGTGCCTCCTCCCCGAAGCACCGAGGCCCTGCATTCAACGCCCTGGATGCCTGGAAGGACGGGGAGGAGAGCTGTTTTGGGAAATTCTTACTTTTAGTCTTTACCTACATCGCAGTTCGCTTCTGTCCCTGGTCAAGGCCAGAGAAAGCGTTATAGATCAGCTGTAGATGTGGATATCTGTACACTGTACACGCTTGACGAGGCCTCAGAATGGCGATTTCGTGTATATGGGAGCCCGCCAAGCGTTAGTTCCAGGGGTTTCATCTGTCAGAATATTGGGGCAACGAAACTGCACTCTAGCGTGAACTGCCGCGTGGTTTTCCTGATAAAAAAAAACTGGCGGAATTTGCCATCATTTGTTGGAGTAATGAAATAGTCAGATTTGGCTGCTTAGTTAATGCGCCCAAATGGAAGTTTCAACTTTTGAGGGACACTCGCTCCGCTGCCAATGCTCCAAAAGTTGACGATGCTTTTGCAGTTGCACCCGTACACACGTTTTTCTGCGTTGGATAACTGCCCCGTGTGGTTGATATAAGGGCGCAATTCTAAAAGAGGCTGAAGAAAGTCGCCAGACTGTCATAAGGTCCCGCACTCCGGGTCGGGCCGTTGCGATTGCTGCCATGATCTGCATGGCTCATTCCTTCAGTACAATTCTCCGAATCTACTCGCGGAGCACCCCTGGATCTCGGCGCCATAGTATGCTGGGGTCTACGTGAGCACCTATGCAGCGCAAAAATCGACCGAGACTGACTGCGCGTAGGGTCTTCATCATTCAGGTGCACTGTAAAAGCGATAAAGATTACTACGTAACAGAGACGCTGACGCTAACAGCCGAAGAGCATGTATGCTACATGAACAAGCTTGCCTTTTGTCTTCATCCTCACGACGAGAGCTTGCAGTCTTTCAATTTCGATTTCGCTCTTCTTGAGCATTTCTTTTAGGCGCCGCAGCTCGTCTAGGCGCATCCTGGCAAATGTCCCGTCGTCGCTTGTGTTCTGAACCCATATGAAGTCATTATACGACGGCGAGAAAAGCGATAAAGGGAAACACGAGGTGCATACAAATGTGCAGCTCTCGTTGCAGGAGTAGCCGCAGTCTTTCATCAAACTGTGTAACTCACGTGATGGCGCTTCTCGCCCTGTAGTTGCTGCGTAAGCATTGAGTCGCTTTCTCTTGCCAGGGCAAATCTGTGTAACAATTCAGTGTGACGCTTGGTTATGGCCCGGAGTTTCTGCTTCAGCTGCATGTATTGCTGTTGCTGGTCTTTGAGCTGCGCCTAAGAAAACCACGCTCACAAGGCAGTTCAGGCAGCACAGTTCTTCCAGAGTGACCAGTAGGACCGAACAGAAAACAACAACCAGCAGGACCTACCCTGTCAAACCGCTGGGCTGCGAGCCGAATCCTATGAATGTTTGCCTCCTAAAGTGCAGCTACCGCGAGGTGATAGCTATATTAAATGCAAAAATCGACACGGCTGCGGCCTTACTTGCTTCACAGCTACCATTTCCATATCCTTCTCAAATGCTGGCCTGATTGGGTCGCTACGTGCTTGATTGTCCTCGTGACCTGCAGCCACTGCAGCTGCTTCAACTTGTTCCAGGGTAAGAGACGCACCGAACCTCACTAACTCCACAGCTTTAAACGTTGCTCGAAGAGTTGCCAGGCGCTGTGAACTCTGCAGAACATGGAAGCTGGGGGCAGGAGACATCCGCTTTCTGCGATAGGGGCACCCAGGGGTTGCCATATGCGGATTTCTCCACTACATGTGGAAAGGCCCGCTATTTCTGGTACTCATGGGCATTGAAGATACTTTGTTTCACCTGTTTATTTTCTCTTTGGGCACTTGCAAGCAGGCGCTTGAGTTGCTTCAAGTCGTCCGCCACGATAGTTGTTTCGTGTTGCAGCTCTGCAACTCTGCGTGCACAGAAGAATACACTTGAACCAGGCGAGAGATACTATCTTACACACTATTAGAGCTACACCCGAACAAATGTTTGCTTTCCCACCTAGGCACGCTGAACCCTAATGCTTTTCCTGCACGCAAGCCAATATAATAGGTGAGACTCTACCGACTGTTGGCGGAGAGCAGCGAATCCTTCGTTGCTGAAAATGACGGCGGAATCTAGTTTGTCGGGGAGTTGCCACGTCTCTTCAGCAGACGACAAGCACTTAATCTGCCAACCGCAAATAGCTGTATCCAAGCGGTACATTTTGGAAGCGTCTGCGTTTATCATCCCACTGCAGTTGTACAAGTTGCTTCTAACAAATGCACAAGGACAACTGAAGCTGCGATGTAGAAGGCCGATGGCAAACTGGGGCAACGACTGTCTTTATTATCAAGGCAAGGCATGGCCAACTGTGCCCGTGGGAGTCATATACAGGCAAAGTGTAGGCTGGCACCTGGGACGCTCGCAGTGGCACAACGGTCTCCAACTCGTTGAGTGAGCTCTGCAGCTCCCTTAAAAACTTGTGGATCGCTGCCTCAACAGACTTATAACGAGCTGCATGCTGCTTCTGAATCCCCTGGACTTTCGCGTATTCCTGCAAATAGAAAACCCCACCAAGCGCTGCACGGATAAGCCAGTCACAACTTCCTCGATTTGTACGCAGCTTGGGCTGTTTTAACTGCCACGCTGGAGGGGAAAATTGTGGCCTTGTGGTGTAGAAAGAGCCACTTGGTGTAAAAACGTCTCTGTTCAGTCCGCAGAAATATTGCCAAACGCTGATTGTCGCAACGCAAACTTGCTCATTCCAGCCAGTGCAGACTTCTGGCAATCGAAGGTCCACAAAGCACCTCACCCTCTTCAGTTCGTCCAGTTCACGTTGGTGGACTGTCAGCGTTGCGTCATTCGCCGTTTTCTGGTCTCTGCACGAGCGTCCACACTCTCAAGGGCATCATGAGCAATTTGTTCACAAGCGCACGCATCACCCGGTCCCTATTCGCTTAAGTGCTTACCTGAATTCCAAAAGAGCCTCGTATATCGCCATATCACACCCGAGAGGACAGATGTCTTCTTCGACATCTCCAGAGTTTCCTTGTAGTTGCTCAGCCTCATCTACTTCGTCTGCATTCGCAATGCAGCTCGCAGAATGTACATGCCTAGACGCGTAAGAGGCTGTCTCGCAAATAGCATGGACCACGCGATGCAAGCGGCGTACAACGATTCTTGTGGACAGTGCTCGAACAGCAAGAAAGGTAAGATTTCATTGACCTCACCCTCCAGGTCACTAGCCTCAGCGTCACCACCATGGGGGCTGGCAGATAGCTTGGCTGTTTTATGAACCACCTGCCAGGACATGAGCGAGAAGTTATTCAGGCATCAAACCTCGTAGTGTGACTAGCAGCAGTGCTTTTGGTTAGGTTCATGGATGTTACGGGCGATCCAATCACAGAAAAAAAGGGGAAACAGCTATCAAAGAAGCGTGCAGTGAAAGAGTGGCACATTGCGTTCAAAGATTTGCATGAGGGCCGCCTGTTGAGGATTTCGAGGTCCAATTGTCTCAGCCACCCGTCGGCGGATGTCCAATTCAGTCGCCTGCACGAAAGCGTACGGGGATTGAACTCGGTGCCCATATATTCCCTAATGCCTTGGTAAGCTCACGTTCAGGTTCAAGATGTATTGTTTTGCATCATTAGTTGCAGTTTCTTCCTATAGAATGATCTGCAATATAGCTGCATAAGTCTCTGGGCCCACCCGGCAACTCTCGATTCCCTGTCTCCTCTCAGAAATGGAGGCAGCAAGAGCTTCAAGGCGACTATTGACTTGGTGACACTCCTTCTGCTCACTTGACAGGTCCTGCTGAAGTCGTACGTTCCGTGGCTCCACTGTTTCAATTATAGTCAGCTCTTGGAGTTGCTCCTGAGCCATCAGTAGGATTATGCGGTTCTCTGATACGTTCACGACTCAAAACATGAGTATGGCATTCGTAAATGTATAACCACAGACAGGCACCTACAGGGAATCGTACCAGTTGTTTCAGGCGTGCCAAGAGCAACTGTTGGTGGACTGCCGTGCGGTCCTTCAAGAGCTCTCGTACTTCTTGATCAAATGTAAAAACAGCATTTTTAACCTGCAGGAAACACAGTAGTGCTGCATTAATCAGTATTTGCCTCAACCTCATAATAGTGGTGACGGTGCCGCGTTGAACGCACTGTCTGTATAGATCTGTTGGCCTGTAATTGAATCTCCAGAGTCTGAAGCTCTGCCCAGCTTTTGAACGTTGGAGGCAGTGAACCAGAATTGACGGGCTCGTCCACGTAGTAGTGCTCATAGATCTTTGAGCATTCTTGCAAGTTGAGAGCAGTCTGGACTGTGCTGCTCTGGCTTATCTCGCATCTTCTGAGGCTGTGAATTAGGTCCAGAAGGCGTTCCTTGAGCTTTTGGTCTTCGTCGCTTGCGGCACTAGTACTCCTCTCTGTAGAAGTATCGATACGGTCCCCTGGAACATCAGCAAAATAAGCCTCCGGTTCTTTCGTAATCCGTGTATGCGCAGCTGGGTGCAAATGCTCAAATGACACAATGAACTCTCCGGGCCGCCGACGGGCCTCAGCAAGAGCAGCTTTGATATCTTCAATTTCTGCCTTGGCAGCGACAGATTCGAACAAGGCTCCAGTGTTGTTCAGCTGCTTAAGTCGTCCTTCTAGGGAGTCACTGCGCCACAAGGATTAACATCTGGAGAGCATTTATTCACAGAGGGAAATGGTCTTCATTATTATGGAGGCCCGATATTGGCTGACGCCTACATGAGCTGTTCCTTGCTGATGCTCCACAGGGATCCGTCTGATTGGTCCTCAACAGTGGCGCTTTCCACCATCTGCGCCAACGACTGCACCTGGGAAAATTCTGCTGAGCCTTCGAGCTCAGCAGCCTGCAGAGCCTCACTAATTTCGCGCAAGATGCAATCGGATGCCCTGAGAAGTTCCTTGCGCATTTGCGACAGTACTTTGACCCTTCGATTAAAGGAATTTGCCTTTGCAGCTGCCCACTCAGCAAGCTCCACCATTTGTTTCTTTTTCCTTGAAGCCATAGTTCTGTTGTCATAAGCCCGCATGCACTCGAAAGCCCTTACCGTCAAATCTGCTCTCCTCCTGTCTGCAAGTTTCTGTTCAGCCCCGGGTAAGCTTTTCCGAGACAGCTGCAATCCAAATCATTCGGATACTCTGTATATAAAGCCCTTTTAATGTAAGTTCTGCGTTTCCCATCCGTGGCATAAGCAAGCTTACAGTGAGGCATCTGTCACGGTCCCAGAGGCGGTGAGGTTGCATGCATTCAAGTTTTTGATAGTTTCTGCGATGCGCTGCTCATCTTGGGCATTTGCCAATTCTTCTTTTGGCTGTGCCTTTAAAAGGGCTGCCATCTCTAGCATGCGTTGTCTCCGGGGGCCAGTTGAAGGCGCAGCTCCTGCGAACTCATGTGAACAAGTTTATCGTGGGGTGCAACCACCGAGGAGTTTCCGTGGCACCACCACCTTGAGCCTGCTGTCGAATCGTTCCCAAATATGTTCGGGCTGCATTAAAAGTTTCGAACCAGGGATCAATAGCTACGCAAGAATCTGAGCCCTACGGAGGATGCTAACCTGGTGTCCCAGTGAACTCTTCAGATTGCAAAGTGAGAGCGACGAGGCTCCCAGGTCCGTTGCATATTCCGGGTACCTCCACTTCTTGAGTCCTCGAAATTTTGGTTGCCTCTGGCTCAACAGTGAGCCGCCTGGTGGAAGCTGAATAGGATAACAATTGTACGCAGCTGTTGTGCACAAGGGAATGAATCAGTTTGTTGAAAGCATTAGAAGACATCTGCAGCACGTGATGCTCTTCGGAATAGCTGCATGTGCTACGTTCGTACAAGGGGTGTATGACACTGCTGTCTCTTCAGGAAGCAGCAGGTGTCTCAGTTCTTTGTCTCGGCAAGCTTCCAAAATTGCCTGCATGTCGGCAGCTCCACCTGCGGTGCACTGTGCCTGCCCTGCGGTTTCTAGTCGCTGAATGTCCTGAAGAAACTCCTCACCGGCAAAGCGCAGTAAACCATGGTTCGCAGTAGGAACATTCGAGTGCGCAGCACTAAGGCTGTAACATTAAAGAGAAAGCAATATCCCATTTGTACGCACTGCCAAGTTACTATATTGGATGACGCACAAGTGGTGTCTGCGCAGTGGGAAATGAGCACACGCAAAGGTCCTCGGAAATGCCAGCCACTCTGACAGCTTCTAGAGCTCCGCCAAATAGCCGCTGAGAGCAGACCACTCTTGAAACATATCTTGCGCTAGTAGAGGGTCGTACAGAACCTGATCGGTTGAAGCGGCAGTCGCTTGACATAATTCAACTCAACGGGAACAACAAACAGTTTGTTGTGGGGAAATAAAAGGCAATGTGACGTTTTAATCTATTTTTTTTTCAATGTTGCCCTGCAAAATATTTATTTATCAATCGCAAATCAGCCTCCGCTTCGCGGCTCGTAGCCCCCATACCGCAAGCATGCTTATCATTGCTTGTTGCTGCTCTGCTGCATCGTGTATTTGGCGCTCAATTTTATCCAGGGATCTCGCAGCCTCAGCCTCATCATTGTGAAGGAGGTCTTCCCGAAGGATCAGCTCCATCATCATTTCTTGTGTATTAATACCTGGAAGGGCTGTCAAGCGTGCGATCAAGTCCTGGTCAAATCATAGAATGCAGCATATGTTTTCTTTAGGTGAATGCTTTTAATTCCAAAGATACTGTTCACTCCCGTAAGCATCTTCCTCCTGCTGTAGAACTAAAATTAAGTTGTCACGATCGGAGAATTCGGGAACCAAGTAGTTCAACCAGCGTTTCAAAATATGCAGCCTCCGGGGAGTAGCTTTGTGGCCTTCTCACCACGGGAGGTTGTGTGTGCCTGAGCGCATAAAAGGTTTTATGTGCGTGGTGATCTTGCCTGGAAACGCTCAGAAATATCGTCCAGCCTAGCGCGTTCCTGTTGTTTGGCAGCTTCAGCTTCAGTGTATGCCGCACGTTGCCTCCGCAGTCTTTGATGCTCCTGTCCCGGGAAGTACAACAGCAATATTCTTAGCTTTGGTGTGCCCTGAACTGCCTGACTGTGATGTTAAACCGAAATGTGCCCTCGAATGCTGCTGCCAAAGGGAAAACCTAGATTGTCTTCTCGACACTCTGCCACCATCTGCAGGCTTTGCAGCTTGACGAGCCGGCAACTAGTGCATTCTTGCTGCGCACCGTGATAGTGGGTTCTTCTGGCTGAAGAATATCCTTTACAGCGTCTGTTGGAGATAGGCTCTCCGGACCACTCAGAGCGGCCGAACCGGCGCTGGCGCCGATACTATCATACTCATCTGAAACCACCTGCAGAATGTTGTTGATTAGCACCGGACGCGGGCACGGTGGTTTCGGCTCCTTTGTTTTCCTGCCAACTCAGCATGATGCCAAAGCCCAAATATGCAAGGTCTCGTTTGCGCTCCGAGAAGTCTTTGCAGGCTTCACTACGATTTCCGGTAAATCATAATTCATTCCCCGGCATTTCTTAACATTTGAGCAGCACGACACGACTATACGGTATTAATCAAGAACATTTTACAGGTCGTTGCAAAATCAGTGCAAAGTTACGCACTTGGAAGTGGGCTCATTCGAAGCCGCATCCATTTCATTGGCCGATTGACCATCGTAGGTGGTTGCATCTAGCATGAGCAAGCGGCGGAGGAATTGCTGCTGCTGTTGGTGTTTTTCTGCTTGTTGTGTTAGTCCGCATCTCAGGGCATTTTGTGCCTCTATACGGTCTTCTTCAGCTTTCGCTGGCCCATCTGTATCAGCTTCTCTCTCGGAACCCAGTCCCTCTTTGCAACGGCAATGGATAATATCATATTCAAATTCACATCTCCACCAAGCTCCGCTCTGAGCTGCAGCAACCAGAGCCAATCGGTTTGCGTCGCCCAGCTGCCTGATTATGATGCTTGTGATACTTCCAACGTGACTATCAAACACCCTGGCCTATAGGATATTTTGAAACGCAACAAGAAAACCGGGAAATTTTCCCGAAGGCAAAGCCTGCCAGTAATTTACAAGTGCGACAGCGGTGGTTAAAGTGTCAATAAATTGACAAGCGCGGAGGTGCACAACTGCTGCATAATCTGTATATATCACAACGGGAAACGAAGGCAATGACTATTGCCACTGGCTCACCGCAGCGCATGCATTCGGAGTGTCAGCGAAGAACATTACCACCCGCCCATCTGAGGTGCCAGCTACAAGTAAATGCCTATTAGGCACCACGATCAATTGAGTCACATGGGATCCCGGAATTTCGCAGGATGGATTCTCCGATTTTTCATTGTTAAGCTGTTGGAGGACATTGAAAAGCGACAATATAGGGCGAGCGGTTACGGATGCTACCGGAGTCCCTGGCGTCGACAAAGCCTCTAGTGGAGTGCACCAAATACCATTCCGCAAAGTAGACGTTCCAGAAAATATCAGAAAGTAGCCTTCTAACTTCCACTCCTCCGAACCATTCCCGTGTGAGGGGCCTCTTTTAGAGGGCTCGCTGCCACACGTCCCCCAACTCAACAGCCCTGGTGTGTTTGTGCACACCTCTAACCTCGCAATTGTTATTGCAGTAAGGCGGGCTGCTGCTGCTGCGGCCGCCGCGGCAGCCGCACGACGCCGCTGCTCCTGTTTCATTGCTGCTGCCAGGACGCGCCGGGTTTCGTCAGCAGCTGCGGATTGCTCTGTAAGACTTCCATTAGAGGAAGCCCCTCTAGGCTGGGCTTCGCGAGAGGCTACAGAGGAGATCGTGTCATGGTCGCTGGCGTCATCGGCTTCGCTATCGCTCCCATTCAATTCCTCCTCCTCGCGTGGGTCTTTGCCATCCGGAACTATGCTCCGCAGGACCGATGTTGGGATTTTCACATCGATCCGCCTGCGTATTGCAAAACAAATGCATGTTCGTAGACGGTATGAAGAGCGTGGCAGTCGCATGGTTCTTACACCGAACAGGCCGAGGTGGACGGCCTCCACCTTGACGATGGAGGACCTCCACCGCGATCAACACCAGACTGAAGAGCCACTATTGAGGCTGCCTGGCATTCCACTGCCCTTGCCTGAAGAAGAGTGCTCCAGTTAGATCTAGTGGATCTTCTGCAATACTTAGGGCAGAGTCTCTCTGGGGAAGTGGGGCACCGTTTTCGGCGTCCTGGTCCGCGGAATCGCTCTCCTCGTCCTGCGCGCCATCATCTCCGGTATAGTCTGAACTATCTTCGCTGCTTGGTCCATTCCCGTTTGCGTCACCGACGGATGCTTTCTGCCCGACGCAGAGAGCGTTTGTGCCTGCCACCAAACCCACGCTGCCAGGAACGGTAGTCGCGTTTTTACCGGGCTGCGTGTGAAGCTGTCCCAGCCCTGTCAATACCAATAGTGCTGCATCTCCAGCCAGGCCGAGCAGGAGCAATGGATGCTCCCAGACCAGCCGACTCAAAGGTTCAGGAGTTGTGGTGAACCCCAAAGGCTCTGCCTGCCATCTGCTTTCTACACAGTGAGAGTCTTCTAGATCCTCTACATCTTGTTCTGTTCCTATTTGCTTCTCTCTCTGATGACATTGGGTAAGTTTGAGAAGTAATAGTACGCCATCATCACCCAACACCGCGAGGCACTGCCCTGATATCGCAGGAAAAAAACGTTTAGTATTTTCAAAGCGCAAGTGCACAGTCAGCGAAGAGCGGCCAGTGCGGTTTTGTGCGCCTTTGCCAACTAACAGAGAGGGCAACAGGTGCAAAGGATGTCAATGTACTTAATGTATGCGCCATCCAAGGCGCCGGCGGTCGCTTCCCTACTAAACGTAGCTGTTGCCGTACCTGTAGGGTCGACAGCCAGGTGCACGACTGCGCATGCGTGCGTCTTAATTGCCATGAGTAGATGCGTTCCCTTTTTGGAAGCTGAACATAGTCGCACGACTCCGTCCGACGAGCCGAAGAGGAAAAGGGGGCAGTTTGTTTGTCTTGTCCGGGGCATCACCGAAACGCACCGAATCTGGTTTTGCCATTGCCTGCGTTTACAGCAAGCGACTTCATTCTCTGTCGCACGGAATGAGCACTCGCAGGCGGTGGACATAAAGGTCTACTTGCTCCGAAGTTGAGGAAAGACGGGCAAATGAAATACCGGCAGGTCACTGGCATGAGGCATGGCGGGCCTTCCCAAGTGCGTATGGATCCATCACCTCCAACAGTCAACAAATCTGCACAGTACCAAGACGTCAGGAGAAAACTTCCCTCGCAAATGAGCCAATGCAACAAGCACCTGGTAGAGCAATGCTACAATACGGTTGGCGCAGTTTTAGGTGCATCAGTTGCGCCTAAATGAGTGCCTAGAAGCTAACCCCTGGGCCCTAGACTGGCTCGGTGCACCAGTTGATAAAGTGTGCGCACTATTAGGCTAAGAGAAATCTAGTCCCACATGGCTTACCACACCCGGATTGCTTCCTCTCATTGACGACTTCCATCGCTACGAGTACGCTTGAGGCATGAAAATCAAATGCCTAATAAGAACGCATCTCACAATGCAATGACTGGGTTTTGCGTGGCGGTACTCTGTAGGTACAGGGCCTCAGTAGTAGTAAGGAACACGGATTCACTACCGGAGGGAGAAACTGGAAGCACCTTAAGTAAATAGTTCGAGTCCGGAGCGAAGAGCCACGTAACGCCGCACCCAGTAACTATTATCCAGAATGGGCTTGCACTATCCCTGTGTGCAGGGGGACTCTGTATATTTGACGACGTTCCAGTCAATTCAGCGAGATATCTGCATCCCTGATACTGCGTGTCTGTCCCCAAGCAAGGACGAGAAGTAGGGAGCGCAGAGCCTCACCTATGGGGTAGAACCCGCTTGATTGGCATTTCATCTGGCATGGTAAAGGCCCGAACAACTGGAACTGCAATTGTGGATTCTTCTGTCATGTAGCTGACCGCTTCCAGTACATCATGAGTTGCCCACCTGCAAGCCAGCCGGTCAAACCCGCAAGCCTCCGTTTATGCGTTTTCATCATCAGGGTAGGTACCCGAACGCAAAACTGCATCTCATGCAAAGGGCAAGGCTGGTCAAATACCATTTGATTTGCCCATCATCACCAGCGGAGACTATATGAGCTGCATTTCTCGGATCCCTAAACATGCTGCTGATGGTCCGTCGATGGCACAGAACGGGCTGCTTATCGAACTGGGCTGGTTCTCCCTGCGTTTCCTGTTGTGTATGAGGAGCTTCCGAATGCACAACGGAAGAGCCCCTGCGTCCAGATCGAACAGACCCTCTAGGGTTGCTACGAAACCGCCCTGCTCCTGATGGAGCCCGCAATGATTGGAGACCTTCTGCCTGTTCTCTCACAACGCTTGAACTTCTCCTATATGGACTGCTTGTTCCGGGCATCAGTTGCAGCACTTCTGCCTTTATATTGCCATCCTGTGGCGTAGCGTCATGCAAAAGGTACGAAGCATGCAGTGTCACATTCAAATGCCACCAAACGCCCGATTCTGCTTAGTGTTGTGCAGGGGATCGGGTTTTTTCACGGAACGTTGAATGAGGCGTTTTAATCTTCCAGAATCGCGCCAGATTTGTGCTCTAAAACTCGCTCGATCACCTCCCAAAGCAGTAGCTTGCCCGAGTCGGAGCCTGATAGCAGCATTTGCTCTGTTAGCTCGACAAAGCTTGGGACATCGGAAACAGTGAGCTGCCCAAATCTGCACGTCCTTCCCTGTGTTGCAGACGCCAATTTTGTTTGACTCTCCCATACTTGTACTTAATCCTTTCCATACGCGTGCAGGTGAAGTATGCCTCTCTTCGGTGTGCTCGTCAGGGAATACACGCTGAAATAAAAGGTGCTTTAGGCAACTGAACAGAGCGAACCTTCAATTTAAGCCCAGTAAACGTCTGCACAGCTGTCCATAGCCGAATATGGCGCGACCCCGAAGTTGTAAGCTGGTATGCAAAGAACGGTGACCTGCGTAGCGTACCGTACAGCCATACACCTAGGCTGGTGGCAGGTGCACTGGCAGATCTTGCTGCACTAAAATGCTCAATGTCTGCTTAAGTGTACGAAGAATGTGGGTTATCGGTGAGTCACACCATTCTAATGATATTACTTGCAATGCAGGAGTCTTCAACCGTAGAAATGGGCGCCCTGTTGAGATGTTCCAGAGTGTGAGGTAACAACAGGAAAGTGATGCATTTTCTCCCCCATCCCCCTCCCACCCAACAACAGCCAGCAACGGCACTTGCTCAGAGTCATATAACTCCTCCTCTAGGGCGTCGCCGCCTGCACTTCCCCCTGCTGCCACTTCTCCCGAGGAAGATTCTGTTGCATTGATCTCGTCATTTTCATCTTGCTTGATGGTGTTCTGTGGCGTACTATCACCTTCAGCTTGCAGTGCTCCATCTCCAAAAGATTTCGAAGTATTCGAATTCTGCTTAAAGGTACTCGCTTCTGTGCCTGCTGAAGAAAACTTCCCACGGAAGGATGCAGCGGAAAAACCACGCTCGCTAAAGGCCTTGCAAAGTCGGACTCGTTCGAAAGTCCTTGATGAGTAAACATATATGCCTATAAAAGTTTACAAAAGCAAGCAAGAACCCGCTGAAGCGATGCACGATCGCAACAGCTGAAAAGGAGTAGACTCTTAGACTGCTCAAAGTATTCGCGCGTCAGTTCGTATGCGCCCGCCCATCAGAGAACGCATGCAATCGGAAAGCTCATCCATGCCAAGTGCCGGTATACTGCTCTAGTTCGAGAGATGTTGAATGTTCCATGAGCTATATAGTAGGAAGCCAGCGTCCGATGTGGCATGCATCACCAGTTTTTGTGCCTCAATAGTGACCAGAAAACATATGGTCGTTCCTCACTTGCTGGTTTGCCGATGCTCCTGCCGCAGACAGCGATGAGTTCGTGGTCGTTGTCCACTGCGACTGCAGACACTCCGCCATCATCGTCGAAGTCGTTTGAAGAATGCAACACGTAAGGGTTTATAAGGCATTTTTCTTCCGCTTGTGGGTTGGTATTTTCCCCACAAACTGGTGGAAAATTGTGGACAGTATACAAGAGTACCTGTGTGTTTGTTATACACGCCAACGTCTTACTATCAACAATAAGCACCTGCTGCCTTGCTAAATCCTGGCCCCCAGTATGAGTTGTTGCCACAGGGTACTGCACCGAATTTGAGTTGCTCATTCTTATTTGATTCCAACTACCACTTTTCTGTAGACGCTTCCCTCAACTGGACAGGTTGGACAGATCGAACCAGCGCAGTCGCAGACCCTGCTTCCTCTTGATGTCAACGGAGAGCGAACGGCTGCTGCTCAGGCCTAGCTTCCGCATTTAACGAAGAGCTCGGAAGTTTTTACATTGACAAGGAAACACACCGTTGCATCGATCACCAGTAGTTTCGGCGTTTGCGCAATACTGACAAAAACCCACTGTCAAGTAGCTTGTTGCGCCCAAATTGGTCAACCTAGGCCTATCGATTCCGGATTTGCCAGAGTTAACAATTCATTCAGTATAGGAAAATTCCCGTGCTGCCGCAGTGGGTATGGCCGTTCAGCGAGCGACGGAGTGCTGTACAGTAAAGGCTTGAAATCGATTTACCAGCGGGGTTCGCATTAAGGGTTTCTGCAAGCTCAAAAGGTCATGTAAAATGCATGCTTAGGGACCAATTCGTAAGTGCTCTTAATGAAGGGTTTATTACTGCTGATCTCCGCCTGCCGAGCCAGTGGATCGCCACCGGGCCGAGAATCACGCATTCGGAAAAGCGAGTTCGCGTGTGCTCAGCCTTCCATGCGGTTACCAGTCTGTTGGATCCCGCGAGCATTCGTTTCCGATTCAATCTTCGTACTACTTGGGTCTATCCTAGTACTTACGGCGAAAAACGGGCAGGGTGACCGTCTTCACTCCTGTTTGGAGGTTTGCTGAGCCCGGCCTGCTTCGCTTCCGCAAAAAAGGCGGAAATTTCAAGTTCTCAGCTAGCTTATCTTATTTGGCGACGACCTGAGTGTGGAAAGGTGAACCACCGTCGGGGACGCCGCCGGTACAGTCTCTGGAGGCTTTGGGGCTCTGTCGCAGGGGCAGGCAGTGGCAGCAGAAGGCATAATCTCGAGCGCTAAAGCAGTCCATATTCGTGTTTCTGGATGCATATTCCTGTGTCCTAAAAGTCGTTCCGGCCAAAACTCGGCATCCGCTGCAACTGTCAACCTCCGGAGATCCCAGTTTAGATCCCCGTCAACTCCAGAAACTGCATCTGCCTTACCGAGGGCAAATCCAGCACTTCATACAGTGGCAGAGCTCTCTCTAGCATGGAAATCTGGGAGCATGCTTTGCGTGCAGTTTAGCATGCTTATCCCTAAGCAGCCGCCTTGGCCTCTGGGGCACGGCTCAAGCTGACTGCACTGGCAGTGAACCATTCTAGCCGGTGTGTTTGCTCTAAACTACGGAATGCCTGTAGAGATAGTGCAGAGGTGGTTACTTTATTAAATAAAATAATATTTACCCTTCCGTTTATTCAAACGTGGCCTGTTCAGGGGGCTGTAGCCTACGGCTAGACTGATCAGGGCCGACCTTGCAGCAGGTCACCTGCTGACCACCACTGGGACATGTTTGGGCTGCGAATCCAGTCGGAGGGGAGGAAGAATTATCTATGTATGCTACCTGTGTAGTTACTATGAGCAGTTCGTTTACTGAAGTGAGAACTTCATGCGTTGAGGTTGGAATGAGCTGCATGGAGCGGAAGGGTCTCACCGCTTCAGCGGTTCGCAACCAAAGACAACGCTTACTGTAAAAAGCGGCTATGGAGTCCTAGAGCTTGCATTGTGCTCAACAAACGTGACAACAGCAAAATTCTCATTGCCCCCTGTGAATGTTATGGGGTGCGCCTACGCTTAATGGCGCAATTTACCGATACCTTGATTCAGCAGATTCAACGATCGACCTAATTAGTTGCGCTAAAATACAATGCAGTGTGGCTATTGGATCTGTTTGCATCCCATAAGGGCAACTGATATTGCACGTTCAAGTACTAGTGAGGTGCCATCCTAAATCTGTGACGGCACATAAGTAATTGCACCCAGGCAGGAAGCCTACTACGAAACTCCGTATGGCACCACCAACGTAACGTGCTTGTAGTGAGCGACGACCGAAGCTCCATCTTCCTTCCCCTCTTTCCAAGGTTNCCGTGTGGTTGTAAGGACTACAGGGTAGCATGGATGCTGGTGAGTGCTTCCCAGTACGTCAGCAGCCAGCAGTCTACCAGCGAAAGAGGGAGCAGTTCCATGTACGCCCCTTAGAGCGAACGCCACTTACTCATAAATTTGTACAGAATTCGATTAGGCATGGAGATGGCACCGAAGGGTAGCAAGCCATAGGAGGGGAGCCATGCGGTGCAAGCTTTTCCCGAAGGCGCATATGCACTTGAAGTGGTCTCCCTACGGCAAGCTGTTGCGTGACTGCCGACGCTGCTTTCCAACTCAACGGTCACAGTGAAGCGCTTTCTGCGCAGCAGTGTTCCGTTTCGAGAGAGTTTTACTTATCCATAGCATCGCTGGTAGGCTGAGGCGGGTATCAGTTGGAGAAACCGTACCTTCTTCAGGTTTTAGCGAAAGCTACTATAAGATAATTAGCAGTAAACGACAAACCTGGTTGCTGTTACGAAGCTGTAGATAGCACAATGGCCGTGCCCCGCTTGACCCAAAACGAAGGATCTTGCGTTCCGCTTCGTACCTCCTGCATGGTTACTAGGGATGGCCTACCGCTGCTCCCAGTACGGCAGGGGTATTGGTAGATGGGGCACATATAAGGCATTTCAAGTGGGGCACGTCTGCGGGCTACTGGCTTGAAGTGGACAACAGGCATTTCGCACATGAGCTGCATGGGCTCCGGCTCCCGAAGAGACATGCCTTCAACATTCCATGAGGCGCCTTCAAGGTACAGCCGCTTTACGTAGGCTCCATCCCGCGGTGCTGACGGAATTGTGTTTTCATCGTATGTTGTCTGAACAGCCCGCACGCAAACCGTGTATTCAGCAGTTGTGCACCGCTAACTCCATCGACTCCGAGAAGATCTTAAATTCGCATACGCCGCGCCCTCTAAGTTATTTTGATGCACTCTAGGAAAGTACCAGAGCGACGAATTCGAAGCTTATAGTATCAATTGAGATTGAGTTCCGCCTAGCGAACTGCTGCAACAGCGCCGTCAAGAAGGCGCTTGGGTAGGTTAAACCCCCTAGCCAGAATGCCTTTGGCTGCCCCTCCTAAAACGCGCATCACAGACAAATAGCACTGCCAATGAAGGAAGCTCCCATGCATACCAGAGGATCCGTTGCGCGACGATTGACACAACCACGAAGGCTTTTAATAGGGCCTATCTCCGCTCAATACTGCAAAGGAGACGAAATAGAGGGAAAAGGAAGGACGTCAACTAACCAGCCCCCATCTGCTTATTTGTTCCACACGGGCAGATACATCGTAAGCCCAAGACGTGAGGGGTTTCAGCGACGGAAAAGCGAATTCCCAGCACTGGGGAACTTTTCCGTTAAGTAAAGAGCACTGTAGCTTTTCCAGATCTTCTGTCATCACGACAAGACCGGCGACACCCCTCTTAAGATGGCGCACCATCTCTGTGACGCAGGCGAGGAGCCTGTTGAGACGCTGAGCCTCCTGTATCATTACGACTCGTAGAGGCGACGCATCTTCGACTGTTGCTTGTTGCATCCTTGCAATGTCTAAGTTGTTGGGAAGTACGCTTTCGAGGTGCTCACAGCACCGCAAGATCTGTACGTTAAAAAGGCAGATATACAGAACAACGGGTACACATGGAGTTTAAGCTGCCGAATGCCGGCCGTATACCTCTTCTAAGAAGCCAACAATGCAGTTTAAACTGATGTTCCGACATAAAAGTCGTAATAATGTCCTTAACCCCTAATAATTTTGCATACTCTTGATTCTCGGGATTCAGCGTCTCCGCTGTCGCTGGGACCAGCCCCGGGGAGTTGGATACTCAAAAGAGTTGCAAACAACTCTTCGGCCTCTTCTATCTGTGACTGGATCTCAGCGTTAACGTGCTGGCCAAAGAGCTCGGGCGGATCTATTGCTGGCAGCTCACGAACGTACTGCCGGAGGCCAGCCTGGATGCATGCCGGCAGACGGGAAAACAGTACTCTTCTCCTGTGCCTAGCGCTAACAAGGACTTGTAACGAGAGAACGTTTAAGAGTTACAGTGGTGACTAGCAAATATATGTGCCCTTTATTTCTAGAGTTCCGGCTGGATGCAAGGACAGGGCTCTGCTTACTAAGGAAGTGTCTTCAGGCATAGGATACTGCTGCAGCCCTTGGAACTTAAAGTCATTAGCCAACACTTGCGGATTGAAGCAGTCATTACAGTAGACTCGCAGCAATCGCATGTCCCTTTCGTCTGTCAAGCGGCCACCATAACAAGCTCCTGCAATTCGGAAGCGAACTGCATCCCAGGGAAACTCGTTTGTAGACTGCATCACCCAACGCAGGACGAGAGTTGCATAAACAGCTCGTACAAGCAGCAATGCTAAGCAGACGATACCGGACCTTTTGGGAAATATGCAGTGATAGAGTACCTGTTCACAGTATGTTGCGAGAAGGCTGTCTCCCACGAAGAAGTCGCTGTCGCTGAAACTAGCAGGTGTATTCCACCCGAAATTGTGAAATTTTCCTCTCTCTATAAGTAAGGAGTGCAGCCAGCAGAGAGAAAAGAAGAGCCGTTTGTAACGGTCCTCGCCTCCAGCCACGCGCTGCATCTCCTCTTCAGTGCGCTGTTGTAACAAGCGTTGGAGGTTGGCTTTCAGTCCACGCGGCCTCTCTATAGTTATTTTCGTTGACCTGTAGGCCCAGCGTGAATCGCAGCAAGAGCAAAACCCGCCGTTTCACCATCGCTCGAGATAGAACTGTTGTTCTGGAGATGTATGGCAGTCCACGTTACTTATTTTCCGCGTTTGCATCATATCGCCGCACCTTTGCAGCAGGGCAAGAGGGAAATGAACTGTAGGTTCAGAGCTAAGCCAGAGTCGGAAGTCTGGGTGGAGGTGAGCTTCAAGAATCTCCTCAGCTAGCTTTTCGAGTGCCGGCAGCCAAGAGATAGCAAGGTGGCAATTCGCCAGGAAAACCCAAAAGCCGTGGCGAGCACCGTCGCGGATAACTTGTTCTGCTCGCAGTGCTTGTCCTTGGCCTAGTGCAACAGAAACCACCTGAGCAAAATGGAAGGGCGTCGCAATGAAATCTCATTGCTTTAAATACTTTGGATGAGAGCATGTAGTAAATATGCTAAGAGAATGCACCGTCCCATACGGCCTGATCTCCTTCTCACAGTTGTGTTTTTTGAAGCCGCAAACGCCATAAGCTGCCCAATAGGGTCTACTCCAGACAGGATGAAAAGCAGTGGGACCGAGTTTTTCGATGACGACAGTAATTCTTCCCAATCGAGCGGCGCGTACTCAACAAACTTAGAGTCCATAGACTCGGTAACAAACCGAGATGATGCAGGGATAATTCGGTCAGGACGAAGACATCTAATAACAATTAGGCGCTGCAGAGCGTCTAGCCTGCTTTGCCAGTCACCAGGAAGTGGGGCCCGCTCAGGCTCTGGGGATCCAAACCACCGGCGCCACTCCCTGCATACAATATAATCACCCCGACCAGCTGCGCCTACGACCCCACAATAGAAAGCAGTGACGCAGAAGTTTCGATTGCCACCCGGGGGTGGCTTTGGTGCAGGTGCCGCATCAGTCAGGAACCCCGATTTGGTGTATCTGCCAACGCATCATACCTTATGTTTTGCTCTATAGAGCTCTGCAGCCCTTGTAGGCCTTCTAGTTGGTCAGCTTTGCAAATGAGCTGCCAGACTACCGGCGAAATCCACTCTGGATCAGGATTAGCAACAAGCGGCGGTGAGTCAGGGACGCCCCCGTGAGTAAACAAAAAGGCATATTCTTGCCTATTAATCTGGTCGTCAGCAAGAAGAACGCTGGCGCACAAGTGAAGGCTTAGCAAGGGCTTGTGACGTTCAAACACCCCTTGCCGTGCGTACCTATTCAGCAGGACGATACGAATCAGAAACAGTTAACAATTGCCTTCCCCTTTTCGGGATTTTTTTAATCCGCTTACATGACACAAGAGCTTAAAACAGAAGCTTAGTTGATTTCTTACTTGTATACGGCTAGCGTGTGATCTGCATTGAGTGCCATGACGTGGTCTTCTGCGGAGGCCGCCATTGCACTGGACTCCATCGCCGCTTGAATTGATTCCACAAATAATTCCTCGTAGGCATCCAGCGAGAATTGATACATGGAGTCTGCCATTGCTAGATCTTGCAATACAAAGTACAGAACTGATGCTCGGTGACCGCAGGGCCTGAACAGAACAAGCGCCATTGCTCATCCTGTCTCCTTAGGTGATTTGTATGCCTCAGGCATCATGCCACACCTAGAACTGGTGCATGAAGAGCCCAACACTGAGCGGAATGTTACCGGTACGCCTCTCGCGCTTGGTCAATTTTCTTCATGGTGCGTTCAGAAACTTCAATTTGGGAACTAACTTCCCCTGCGACGCGTTTTGAATCCTGTATCGCAGGTGTAAGTTCTCTGGCAACAGCACTTCAACTGGCTCAACCTCATTTTGCACTGAGCCTATTCCCACCAGTTTGCATCGCTCAGTCCTGTCCTGTGCTCTCTCTTTTGTCGACGTGTTAATCGATGGTTGTGACGAGTCTCAAAGACAGGCGCAAAATGTATACAGCATTTCAAGGTGTACCTGAAGCACGCGAATCAGCTCGAGATCATCCAGCAGGCAGCCTCTTGCATCTGTTAGCAATCTAAGAATTTGGTCCTCAATGTCTTGCAGTCGTTTTCGCCCCTCAGCAAGCTTTAAAACTAGGGCGTGCTTATGCGCCTCTAGACTCGGCTCTTCCTTCATGACAACGATTCCCTACATCGGTCACACATGCCATGTAAATGCTGAAACTCAATTTCCCAGCAAACCAGCAATACTAGACATTTCACAATCCATGATGAAGAACAAGTGCACGAGGCCACCTTAGCCATTCGCGTCACAAATTACAATACCCTAGCAGATGTCTACCGGCTGTGCTCAACCTGCTGTTTTTGTTTTTTCATTCTGTGTTCCATGGTGTCTATCCTGGTTGGAAGTGGGCCAATCTATTCAGACACGCCAAAGTGAATGGAAGGTTTCGTGCTGACCAGCAACTGTTCTGCAAGGCCGTCTTGCATGATTACAAAATTAACTATGGTGACTTCAGCCTCAATCTCAGGCGGAAACAGGGGATTTCCTATTTTCGTTGTCATCCAAAGCGAAAAACTACCATCAAATGGCACGAGCTGTTCTCCTGCAGTAGGGGATAGCAGAGCACAACGCAGAATGCCTTAGTATCTCCAAGCGTTTTGGCTACTCCTAAACGATCCTCCGCACTGTCTCACCAATGCTAATGAAGGGCTTCCCGTTTACATCCACAACATTCTTGGTAATGATAGGCTCCAGTGATGGGTCAATTTGAGTTTGCAATCGTTCAAGCAGTACGCATCGTCCTGTTTGTACTGAAAGATGGAGAATTCGCAGAAGTGAATTTGACTCAGGGTCGACAACCTGAAATGCAGGGAGGGAAAAAGGCACGCATATTATGGTTATTGGCATTTATGCATTTACGCTAGCGCCTGACAAACACGAAACAGAATGAACTACAATCTCCCGGTTTTTACCGTGAGTTGTGATGACTTTAGCTTCCTAATCCAGCGGTTAGCTTGATTTTGGGGGTCAATAATCAAAGGCCACTTCGAAGCTTTTGTGATCAAAACGCCATTTTCAGCGGAGAAGGGATCAGTTGGGAGCCCATCCAATTGCCACTGTCGGACTTCTACAGGAGTAACGAAAAAGTCAGTAAAATCGAAATCGGCGCTGCACGGAATGCTCGAATCTTGGAGTTTGTTCATCCAAAGATCTTTCACCTGCGAAAGAAAACCGACAACAACGAAATGTTCTGACTACTCTTTTTGTGCTTTGTTCGCTGTAAATCACTCCTTAAGTCTACTGTTTAATTGGCGGGCAATGCTTAAACCAGGCCTTCGCCATGCTGATGCTCATTGAGCTCACAAGATGAGACCTATATGATGATGTAAATGGGCCAGCGTAGGACATGAAAGCTGATCCAAGCAGGGCGTCCCCAGGGATGTTGCCCAGCTTATCCTTGAAGCTTTCTAAGGAGAGCTCCCACCGATCTCTCTCATCAGCTAACCCAGTGATGAGGCTTTCTGCTCTCTCTAGCTTCACCCGTAATTCTTCAGCCGAGCTGTTTAGCTCACTCTTGTTGCGGAGGCTTTCATCATACTGGTTATTTAGTTCCTCAAGTCTTCCTTGAATGTCCTCTAGGCTGCGCAAAAGCCACGTTCGGTGTTAGCATCGGGCTCTATCAGCCTATTGATGCTCACGCACGCCACGGGTAAGTTGCATCACGCACATCGAGCTACGCTATGCTTACCTTTTGCGGGCGAGACGTAGGTCATTCTGTTTCTTCTCGAGCTCCTCTTCTGCAAGGCGTAGCTTTAGACGCTTTGGCTCCACTTCCCTGTACACCTCCGCGTACATTTGCATTGCATGAACCCACAAGCAGAGAGCTCCGGCGGCACGAGACACTTTTTGCACGTTTGGCGGTGCAAAGGAAGGGTCTTTCGTAAATTTTTCTATCTTTTTTAAAGTTGCATTCGTTATTGAATCCTTGTCGAAGTTTTTAACTCTTGTCAGGAAGCTGGGGTCATTGAGTTCGATTTTTGCCTGAGACCACGAAGGTGACTTTTCCATGACTGTCATGACAGCTGCCATCGTTTTGACGACAAGGTCTGCAACAGTCAACAAAAAAAGAACCTTTATTCACGTCTACGTAAACTGAGGGCCCCTGGCTCGAGCTGCAAAGTTTCAGTAGCACAAGGCAGTGTTTGGGTTTAAAGACCTGGCGGCTTGGTGTATGCTTTGACCTCCGCCACCGACTTCTTATCGAGCTTCTCAAGTGCGTCTATTGCTGCTTCCAGGGCAGGCATAGCCTTGGCAAGGTCCCTCCTGGCTTCGTCTGAAAGAATTTTCGTTTCCATTTCTTCAGTTTGAATACGGGCACTGTCAGCTTCAACCTGAATATGGACGAGGCGTAGCACCCCATGGTTCATTGAAGGGGAGCAGGATTTAAGAAGTGTGGCAACCGGAGGAATTTATGAGCATGCTTCTGTATGGCAAACTGCTACGGCAGCTTATGCCTCAGGTTGAAACGGTTGTACCTTCTGAGGTCAAGAACGCATACCCTGGAAGGCAAGGCACTGAACGGATGAATTGGCTAGTAGTATACCTGTTTCATTTGTTCATCTGCCAGAGTGCGCTTCTCGACAATAACCACCATCAGCTCGTCGCACTCTCGTTGCTTTCTTGCAACGTCTTCTTTCTTTGCCTCAAGTTCTTCATTCATCGCCTCTACCTGTTCACGCGCCTCTACTAGCTTGCCTAGACCATTTGAAAGCTTATCAATCTTCTCGTGCGCTCGATCTTTCTTCTCCTTAAGCGTCTGACAATACCCCTACGCATCGAATAGGGCACGCCAAAGCAATTCCCAGCAACCGTGTAACCACCGTCGGAATATAGTCAGAATTTGATAGAGATGAAGTGCTAGTCTCACCCGAACAAGTCGAAGAAACTTAGTAGGCGTAATGAAACTAGTTCGCTTTGCTTCTTTTTGGAAGGTTTCGGCCTCGCCTATGGCATCCATGTGAACATAGCTACTTGCTCGTGCAACTGCTTCTCGAGTGCTGGCTTCCATATCGGCCGACTCCAGGAATGTAGCTGCAACCTCCTCAAGAGCTTCTTGGGGCCACGTGAAGAACCAGTCTATGGTCGTTTCATTGATGAATGCGGGGAACATCCTGAAGGCAGAATTGATCGAAGAGCTAGTGTGGGTTTAAGACGGCTCCCCCCTGTGTGGGTAAGTATGCACAGCCAAAGTAAGTTGCATGCAGGGAGACGTTAGCTCTGCGCATGTTGTGAGTGCGCTCTTGTTGTTCCATACCGGCAGTAGTCCCTCAATGTGCTCCCGATTGGGCTAACGCAGAGAAGTACTCGGAGATTTTCCCTGACGCGTGCTAAGAAGAACTCAAGCATTGCATCCGACGGCAGTGAAACCTTCGCAGCTTCAGCTGCTGGCTGAAGGTCCTTAAGCAGCATTCCAAGGCTTTCCGCATCCAGCATTCCCGGGACTTGCCCCGAACCTAGTAGGCTGTTCAAGCAGTCTGAGAATGCCTCAGTCTTAAGGTCTTTATCAGTAAGCAGTAGGCTTGAACGGATGCCATCTCTTCCTGAGTTCAAATGCTCTCGATTATATTTAGCCGTTTCGGAAACAGGAAGTCAGTCTCCAAGCAGGTATTCTTTGATTCAAACATGCAAGGGTTTAGCTTTACCTGCAGCCACAATATGTTGTTTCAACTCTTCATGAAAGTCTCGAACTGTGAAGTTCTTTGTCACTCGAATTCGCCAAAGGTTTTGCTTCAGTAGTTTTGTAGCGAATGTTGCCAGCGATTTTCTCCCACTACCACCAATGCCAACTAGCAGCATATGACCTTTAGGCATGCAAAGCGTTCTGTGTATCCTGCAGCAATGCTCGACCGCCTCTCTGAAGGGAAACGGCGCAAAAAGGTCTGTTGTCGCTGGGCATAGCCATGAATTGCTATCGCCTACTGCGTGAAGCCATATTGCTTGAGGGTAGGGACGGTTTGCTCATTCCACAGGCTTGTGCCATGCATACTCAGCAAAGGACTAAAGCAAATATCTACGCCTTTCCCTCGCGCCCTACTTAAAAAGAACAAGGTGGATTGCTCCGGTTGTGCTAGTGGCGTTGATCTCGTTGAGTTTTGACCGTAGGCTCATTCGCAGAGCTTGGCGATCCTGAACTTCCTCGTATCCTCCGAGCGACAAGGCACCTGACTGCTCTAACCGCATGTGGCTAAACAGAATGCCCCGTTCCTTTGTCAAATCCTTTGTTCGTACCTGAAAGTTCTTTTCAAGAATGCCATCTAGAATCTCAATAAAGCGGTCTACATCCACGCTTGACGCCAGCCGGTCTTGATACACGCGTTGGCATTCATGGTACCTGCGTACATGCCCCAATACAACTGCACATAGGGCAGTAAGCTTTACTTTTGTGAATTTTTGGAGCTGATGATCAACATATGTTTAATATGGGTAGCATCCAGGGCGTACCATAGCTTTAGCAAGATGTCCCTGTCCTCAATGCACCGATGATCAGCTTGATATAGACCTTGGACCACTTTTGACATATCGCGCATGCTAAATAGGTAGTGGGGTCTTCCAGGCTTTGGTCTGAATGTTTGCCGGACTGCTTGATGCAACGCCACAGTTGATACGGCGATGTTCTCTGCAATACTCCTTACGTCCTGCATGGTCAGGAACATGCACAGATGTGCAACGTAATCGCAAGAGTAGTGGCCTGAGAATGTCGGCTGGACTGGCACAACGCCACTATGCATTTTACCAACACTCACCTCTTTGAAGTCGGAGAACTTGTGGACTACAAGAGTTTGGTAAATCCGATTTATCCGTGGTAATGGCGGCTCCAGGAAGGCGATAGTGTTAAACCGGGAAAGTAGACGAGAAGCTATGGAATTTCGGCCTCCTTCAGGAGCTCCCATGGCCGCAATAATTTGCATGTCTAGCACTAGCTTCAGTGATTGCCGGCCTCGATCATACCTGAAGATGATAAGCGCCCAACCGCAACTGAGTTGCCCCAGAATCCGAGTGCGAGGGTCTGTCTGTAAAGGATCGCTGGCCACTGCCTTCGTACCAGCATCCATAATCGAGAAAATGCCTTAGAAGTTCAAGAGGAGGCTGAGAGCCAAATTCATCCGGCTTCGGCATATTCAGGTCGTCAACAAAACAGAGCAGTAGTTTCCTGCCGGCCGGCCCCCACTTCCCCTTCACCCTCTTTTCAAGTTTGCTCTCGAAGCCCTGCGCAATACCCTCATGTAGTACCCATTAATGTAGGCAATTCAAAACCCTGCGAAATAAATTTTTTTCTTCACCACATGGAGAAGATACATTAACTACTAACCTCTTGAGCTTCTTTCGACGAAGTCTGTGAGGAAAACGTAAGTGTCATGGTCGTATAGACGCTGTCCGGTAGGTCGTCGATAACGGCTTTCTTGATGCATGATGTTTTGCCACAGCCACGGCTCCCAACTACAAGTGAGTGAACTTTGTGTCTCATTAATCCGCCAAGAAGGAAGGCATGGCATACGACATCGGCTGTTGGAACAAATATTCTATCAAACGGCATGCCATCTAGAGGCCTGGCATCACACATAGGTGGCATATCTTCTTCGAGAATTACGGTCAGCGATGTGCAGAAATCATAACGAGGCCGAGTGCACTATTTCTCAACAAGAGCCAGCATCCTTGTGGGGAGCGTATCTATCAAGATATAGAAAAATTGGAGCGATGGTATCTTCCAGGCATGCACATGAACAGCGTAGGCGTGTGTCTGGACTACCTGTACGGCGATGGCACCCGGTCCTCCCAAAGAGTCCAATCACCCTTCTCAGAGCTCAGCGCATAATCATACACGGTATGCAGTGGTGGAAAACTGTTGCTTAGCTGGCGGATTACAGAATCAAAGTGCTGCCGGCTGGCCTCCCCCACAGCTGCTCCGACAGACCATGTGAGTGAAAACAGGAAAAGTTTCTCCATAAAGGTCTGTGATCCATGGCCCTGAGAATTTGCAGGCAGAGTACGACAGTTGGGCTGCAACTTCAAACAACGCACTTTACAGGCAATTCCTCCCCTACAGCAACGAAATTAACTACAACTGATCCAGCGTGAGTCGCCTGGGGCCCTGACCTTGACATTTACGGTTGGTTGTGAAGCAAAGGCTCCAAAGAGTCGGCATAGAGATATGACTGTCCCTATTTCAGATAGTTTCACGACTTGGTCGCAATCCTTAACTGCCTGAGACAACAGTCAACAGTTAGGGCTGGTAAATTATTATGGGTAGTGGCCATAGATGAAGGGGGAGTCAACATTTTTGAACGGGAGCTGCTTCGCTTGTATTGCCGGGCCACAACTTCTGCCCAAACATGCAAATGCTCCCCTGAATTTGGAATATCTTTCCGGAGCACAAAAGCGCAATTTGACGCAAACGCATACCTGCAGCGCTTTGGGAAGATACTTGTCGAAGAGAGAACGAAGATATCTGGATGAGTCGTCCGCCCCGTATTGCTTGGTTAGCCACGCTTCCACATACGGTGCCCAACCTAAACAATCGCAGTTCCCGCATTTTTACCCTTTGAGCAGTGTGTGTGCGCATCTACTGTTTGCTCGTGCTTTGATGATTATCTCCAGTCTTTTAACGGTGTGTGTCCTGGGATTTTAACCAATGCACGCTTTAGTGTTTCGGCAGTGAGCATCCCACCTAGCATTGTGGGATCCATAAAGAGGATGCCCACCCTACTAACGGTGGCTGGAGAAGCAGCTGAAAGGTTTTCTACTTCGAAAAGCAGTGACACCTGAGTAAAAAACCCGACATTATGCAAAGCACAAACAATTCCTCCACCCCGATGCAGAAGGGTGCTGTCGTGCTAAGTCATTCCCACCTGGGCATGCAGTTCAATTCGGTCTCCATTTGTCAGCGTTAGTGTCTTGTTGTCATCGAGCAAGGAATTCATGCTTTCAACCCATGTTGTGTCCACGGGTCCGTCGAGCACAACCCATCTATGGCATCGGTTTTGTAGCTGAGCTTCGTTGCAGCAAGCTCGAAGCAATGCTGAAAAAACGCCATCTGTCCATTCTCGTGTAGTAGGACTGAACCCACCGTAGAGCTCAGCTCCATCCAGTGACTTGGGGTTGACTACGCATCTCCTAACGGTGGGATAATCCAGTCCTGCGAGTTGGGCTCCACATTTTGCGCGTTCCCTCATTAGGCAAATACGGCTTGCGGTAAACAAGTGCATTAATAACTCGCCAGCTGGATTTCGGTTGGAGGCAAAATGTTGGTGTTCAGCTGTATAAGCAATCGCGCAGGCTAACCTCGACTATTGAGGTAGGTCAAAGCTTGTTCAAGTATTGACAATACCGTGGACTTTCCGGACAGCGTACTGCCAACCAACATATTTCCGTGACGCGTGCGCATGCACTGATACAATTGTTGGGCTTTGGTTGCTTGATCCTCAACTTTGGTCAAACCATTCTTCTCTATGATCACTTCCAGAGCCTCCCTAAGAGTTTCTGATTCACTCTGAAAATTTTTCGCAGCACACAATCATGGACCCAGCCCAAATTGGTAGGAGGCTGCTCTGCAAGTTGAAACACGGCAAGCTTACTTCAGCAAGTTCAGCTTCTGGGAAAAGATCCTTGACAAGAGCAAACAATATATCCAAGTCCTCTGGAACAGTTTTTGGGACAACCATGTCAAGGATGGCTTGGATTACGGCAGCATGTTCCGCCATGCTTTCAGTAGCCTGACGCTTGATTTCTCCTGCTCTTTGCAGCGCTGCACGAATTGGCCGGAGTCCAAAGTCGTAGTGATCCTGCTTGCTAAGCTGCTGCGCCATCAGCTGGAAAAGCGCTGTCGCCTTCCGCGAAAGTAGTCTAGCATTCTTCAGTTTTCACAACAGAATCACACATGTTTGGATTGACAGCTGTTGCAAAGTTAATGTTTGGGTTCAGGGATCTCGCATACTTTGTATCCCCATGAAACCTAGCTACCGAAGAGAGTAGCCTGTGCTGCAGCTTACGTCAAACCCTTCAGCCATCAGCAAAATTTCGCATATAAGAGCGGCATCCGGGGTCATCATAGCAACTGGCCGAAAAAGACTTTTCAGATTGTCTGGTAGTTCAGCTCTCCCTTTGTAGCCTGGATTCATGGTTGTGAATATTCCACAACCAAGGTCTAAACGAACTCTCTGTCCCTCAAAAAAGAACTTCCGCTGGACGTGCTCATCCGACGCAACTTCTCTGCAGGCGTAACACCACGCAGAGAGGAAAATCATGAGGTATTCCGTACTCTAATTTGCATTTACATTAGATATCAAAAACGTTGCTTGCCTCAATGCGTTCTGAATAGTTGATATTTGCTGTGCAACGACGGAGAGGACCTCTAGACCAATACGGTTGAACTCATCAAAGCAGCACCAAGCGCCGCTTTGAGCCAGTCCACTAAATATCCGTCCTAGCGAAATGTAGTCTAGCGCATCCGAGCAATTGAAGACAATAACAAATTTCGCGAGGGTCTTCCCAAGGTCTTTCACCGTCTCTGTCTTGCCTGAACCGAAATGGACAGAATTGTGCATACTCTTGTCCTGTCCCTTAGCCGGTTGTATTCTACCTCTATCGAACATACGAATTCGAACGGAGAAAAAGTAGGCACCAACAGTTTCCCTGAGGTGTTTCGCACAAGCGACGGGGAGGTTTACTGACCTGTCCCTGCAGGTCCCTGGCACGACCCTCCGAGTCTCAAGTGCAGAGCAAAAGTAAGCGCCATGAAGCACTGGTCCGTTAGTGGGGTTATGACCAACCGACTGTATATTCCTTGGTACTCATAGCCATAAGGAGTAACTGTCTCTGTCTGGAGGCAATGGCAAACGAGAGCTCCTGAAAATCCAGGCTGGATTGAGGACGCCAAAGTTCCATCTGGGAGAAACGCCACAGAAACCTACTTCAAGGAAGTGCAGAGTGGGTCTTAGGTGACGCTTTCAGTGCCTACACGCTCTTTTAACAACAATGGTGCTGCATCCCGAGTGCAAATCACTTCTGTCGGGCTCGTGGATGTCTTCCCGCAGCTCCATCCTAAGCTGTGAGGTCCACGAAAAGTGATGTTCGCTGTCGCAGCGACTCTGAATCAATTTTTCCTGTGCAAGCGCGGTCGCATTAACACGCAAGCTACCGCTCGTGAATTATTGCGGCGCAGAACGCACGCAATCTGCGTTGCATGCTGCTATAATTCAAGGGCCGTATAACTAGAGCGGGGCGTCAATTCGCTTCGCTCTTACGTGTACGTCTCTGTTGTGTACTTCAACGGTCACTAGCGGCTTGAGCTTCATTCTTTCTCTGTCACTACCAGCCTTCTTCATAAGGTCTGACAGATGCTGGAGCTGTCTTGACTGATGACGCTTTAACGTTTTTAGAGCCAGCTTATTCCCTCTGCTAAGCCGGCGGAGAGCGCTCTCCGTTTCCATAGTCCTATGACGCAGAAAGCTTCCGCAAGAAGGCTCAGTGTAGATTAACTTCCGCTGAAGACCATGAATAACAAAGGCAATTGATGCTACTTGACGCGCCAAGAAGCGCTTGCCCACCAACTAATCTGGGAAGACGTTATGACCAGCTGAAAGCAGTTGTCTTTGATCCACTTGTCCTTTTTCGTCCCGTGTGCCATGCTCTGCTGGTGGACAGTGACCAGCTGTTTCCTTAAAGTATCGCGCATCGCGCGTGTGATCTGCAAACAGCTTCAACACTAAGAATTTGATGCTGTTCGGAAATTTAGAGAGCGTATTCGTCCCCGGTTACAATGAAGAGTGAGCCGTCTTTGCTGCTCCGGATACCTTGTTCAGCCACTGCTCTACTCCTCCTTCTACGGTTATAGGTCTCGGAATAAACTTCAGTCGCTCTCCTTCACACGATGTAAATCCGTCCGCTTCCCAGCACCGGTTTCCACGTTTTCCTGCAACAGATCTCAGAATGCTTGGCAAAAGTGATTACAATAGTATTTTGTGTGCATCAGACTCAGCGCCTGCTTCACAAAATGCAAATTTTTAGAGCACCTTGAGTGAGAGCCAGCCGCACCAGGTGGCACCAAGTCCAGATTCTTAATTCCTTGAAAGCACTTTTTGATGTGCTTCTGAACCTTTTCTGGATCCTTTGCCTCCCCCAAGATTTCCAGCATATCAGAATTAGAGACAAAGTAAAAGCGGGGAAACTCCTGCCTGCAGAGGTAACGCATCTTAGCTTGGAAACAGAGCTGCAACGTACATTTAAACCAGCAAAATGGCAATCGAGCTCTTTCTGACAGACCGTTTCCTCTCGAGGTAGTCGTCAAGAGACTTCTGTATATCTTCCAAATCTTCGTTCATAAGGCGCAGCTCTTCCCGAATGTTTGGCTGGCTGCACGCATTGACCAGCGTCGAAGCCTGCTGGAAGTTAAGCAATGTGTAGAAGAAAAGCCTGTCCGTTCTGTCGAACAACGTCGCCTCTTGTGGTAGTAGTATGCGAATATCTTCAGACCCTGTTATGGCAAGCGCAGTGACACATTAAATTGTCTTCGGTTTGTCAAGGTAGGCAACTCCAGCATGTTTGTGTTAAGTTAGAAACAAACGCACCTCTGAAGACATTTTCCAAGTATGCCCACTGCCTTTGCACCTGTTGCAGCAACTCCAGAAGCTCCGCAATTGTGGATAACGTAGATTCCCAGAATGTCACAAGATCTTTGAACGGAAAGTGAAACTGATCGCTTTTGATGGTTGAAAGGCTTAGCAGATGCTCCTCCAGAGTCGCCAGAAGGCCCTCATCGGCCTCGACGCGGAGCATGTGGGTTTTGTATGGCACAATGTTAAGCTCCAAGGAGCTCCACACTGCTATGATTTCATTTAAGGCCACTTCAATTTTAAACTCCTTCCGCGCTTCGTCAGTAAGTCGAGCAATTAAATCTGCAGCAGCCGAATATCCATCCTATTTTGTAGATCTACGGCAAAGGCCTTTTAATGAGGCGGAAAGGACCGTTCAAAGTGTTGTGAAGCGTACCAGATCGACGCAGAAGTTCCAGGTGAAAAACCGACTTCAACGTAAACTCCGGAGAGCGCTGATCAAACTTTTCTGCAACTTCCGCCTTGATTCGGTCCCAGTGACGATCTCGAATTGACTAAAGGCAGAGGACAATCACTATTATCTCCGTCATACGGCAGCGTGACGGAAGACTGGAGGGCCGCAAGATGCTACAGGAGTGTTTTTCTCCTTTTTTCTACATGCGCTGTGCGAAACTTCTCATTAGGTAATACCAACAGGTCCGTGTCCCGCTCACGGGATCGAGGAGGTTTGTAACGAGTGGTAACGCCTGTGTTAATTGTTCCAACTCCAGATGGACCTTGCGCCAGATTGCCCAGTCCCTGCCTTCTTTAATGTTCAGGAGCCGCTCAAGGAAGGCCTCTCCTTGAGCATGAATTTCTGGGACGTCCAGTGAATAAAATGGTTTGTCACTCATTGACTCCCACGCTGCATCCCACTCATTCTGTGCAGTTTCCACAAGGCAGATGCAGTGGTGCATGGGTGTTACAGTCCATTGCATGCGTATCGCGTCTGCATTGTAGCTTCACGAGTTAATTCGGACAGATTCGCTGTGCACCCGGTAATGCACACGACTGACCTTAAGTGACCACACGTCCCACAGCTTCTCGATGTCACGCTCCATCTGTTCCAGATCCCGACTAGTGTGGTACTCAATACCGAAGAAGTCGAGGATCGGAACCAGCTGGTCCCTGTCAGCAGAAAGTTTGCTTATTTCAGCTTTGAAGCCCTCTATAATGCCGAAAGCTGTTGCTGCCTCATAGTTGAAGGATGACCCGTCAAATGGAGCAGATGTCGTAAATTGCTTCAAGAGCTCTGAGGCCCTTCGTCCTAAAACGTTGACAAGTATTTCCGTGTCTACTTTCATCGCTTTTTTTGTCCTGATACGACGGGAGAGCACACGGCATAGAAGAGATGGCTGCGCAATTTACTCAAAACAGAATAGACCCTAGGCGAAAATTGTTATCTGTCAATTTATAGCCAACTCTTCCACGCAAGTTTCCACGGTGGCGTGTAAGGGACTTTTGCGATAGAAGCACACAGTAAGCGGTCTACTCAGTGCGTCGCTACCATCCCGATGCACGGGCGCTGTAAGATGCTATATGGATCGCACCGAATAAGCATGCCCTCTGCGGCTTCTAAGGCTGCCACGAAGCCGTCGATTGCTGGTGTAAGCTTTCCAAGGTTCTCAATTTCCACTTCAGAAACATTAACTGAATGCAGTTCCACAAACATTCTGCTCGCGCCTTCCTTCGCTAGTAAAAATTTGTTCCTTCTCCAGCCATGCATGCATTAACAACTGTACAGTACGGGGCACCAGTGCTAATTCATCTCGCCAGTAGACGCCGCGTTCTATGCTATTATTATGGGATTCTGCTCTCTCTGAAACTTGAAAATTTGTAAACATGCATAGATCTGGAATTAGATGCTGCGCCTCTGTCTCATACCTCGAAGGTCTCGAAGAGTTGCAAACTGCTCATGAATAGGCTGGACTTTGCTGCGCAAGAATGGCAGTTGCTCTTTGCAGTAGCTGCATAGCTCCACTAAACTCCGCAGCTCCTCGGTATTCGTGGGTACCCGTTGTAGAATATTGGTGTTGGCTGCGCGATGCAGCCACACCAAAAGTCCTAAGCGCCATAATGATTTGTTAGTCAGAATTCGAAGAGCTCATGGAGAGGCACTTCCTATACAACACGCTCTCCTCCGTTACGCGGGGGTTCTACATGCTTACACTCAATAAAGTCGAAGACAGCATGCTGTTCTTTCCTCGCACTTTCGTGCAGATACGCAGTGAAAGACGTTCGTTTCATGTGGCATTGCTCTAGCAAGGACTGTTTTAGCTGTGTAAAGTCAGTCTCGAGAAAGCAAATAACCGTCTGAAGGCAGGCATGCACCAATGAACACGACTAAAGAACCCTGCCGAGCGCAGAAAATTCAAGCCACGAGTAAGTCACTGCTGGTCTCTTCCTGCAGAAGCGAATTCGAGACCGTGATACGCTCACCTTTGATTCTTCCTGCTGTATATCACTCTGATAATCACTGTATTCCTGGATGGAGGAGACAACCAGTTGTAACGGCTGCTCCGAGCGCTGGAGCAATAGGCTTAAGGCCTCTGCGCTCTTTCCTAGCAAGCACGAATAATTGGTGCTCCACCACTTCAGACGTTCAAGCACTTTATGGGCTGTACTCGCTACGCATCGCGAGACCTAGGGGCAGGACAACATGACAGTTGGTTTTAGGTTGCACACAATGATTCGGTTTTCCTGCAGCTGATACTGGCTGTGGCATGTATATGGACCAGCAGAAGGCCTAGGTAGTACCTGTGATGCAAGCTTTTCACACTCTTCGTCCGTAGCAAGTGCAGCATACCAGCTGTTAGCTGCTTTAGAAGATCCTTCCTCACCTAAAAGAGCACGCATGAAAAATGCCAGGCAGATTTCCATGGGCCGTGAGCTCACCACAGCATTGTTCATGTAGTTAAGTGTTATAAAAACATTACATGGGTGAAGCATGTGTAGTTTCAGCCGGCATAAGGCTATTGGTCAATAAGGCATTACGGAGGCAACGACCTGCAGTGGGCGAGATTGCTTTCAATCTCATGTGCAAGATCCGATTAACTTCGCTCTGTCTGCTTACTCGGAGACGTTGGCGCTTCTCTGTGACAAGCGCATGGAGCAAACAGCACAAATCTAGAGGTGTTCCGCCTATTTCGTTTGAAACCTCGAACAAGCTTGTGGATATTCCCCTGCTGTGTTCCCTTGTTAAGCCAGCTTACTTTGTCTCCAGTGATTCGCACAGTTTGGGCAAGTGGCTTAGCGTAAGGATTGCGTCACTGCATATCCCTTCCATTGTCTTCCTTAATTTATCCATTGGTGGGTCAAACGCCATTTGACTGCCACACCCGTCTTCCTCGTCGAGACAAAGCACGGCAAAAATTCGCAACAGCGGATATGCGTCCACAGAACTGCGTTTCCCTTCTTTCGGGTAGAGAGCTGTCACAAGCTCCTGCGGCGACACATATCGTAGGCGAGTGGCGACCGCTAGACCGTGCGGTCCACAGTCAGCACCAAGCTTTCTTTCCTAAGCAAAAGCCACTAGCATCCTTAGTTTACTTCCCTCAATTCTCCGCTTATTCCCAGAATGCCGATCCCTGGAGAATCAATCTTACCTGAAGGGAAATCCGAGCAGCTTTTCTCAGCGATTCCCGCCACTCAACATCTATTTTATCAACAAATGCCGTCCATTCTCTTTGTACATCTTTGTTCTGTTCTTTGAATAGCTGCGAAGGGGAACAAGCCACAAAATGACATCTCTGGCCATGGAATGAACCCTCACTCTACTCTCTGAAGGAAGCGTTGAGCTAACGGCGGTCCTGGCAACAGTCTCGTAGCTCCTTAGTCTCGTCGCAAGGAGACATTCGTGGGTCATACCTCTTGAATGCTTAGAATATTGCCCACAAGTTCGTTGTAATGTTCTTTTAAGGTTAGCAGTGCCGCCTTCTGGGTCTCAGTTTGTTGACAGAGGAAGTCTTCAAGTTCACGGGTATTTTTCTTGTCGACGCATATGAGGCGCACTTGGGTTGACGCCTCCATGATACTAGCAATCTCTCTTTTTGCGAACTGAAAGCGATTCACGTATTCCGAAACTGCTTGACAATCCTTCCAAACGTCACGCACGAAAAATTCCTTGATACCCTGCAAAAAAGCATATACCAGCATGGTAGTCGTTTGCCGCATTATGTCTGTTGAACACTGTTCTGCGTTTGACGTCGCGCGTGAAAGAGCCAATAGTTCGAAAGCAATTTAGAGCACACGATTTGATGATCGTGGCTCCCTCACCTTCGAGTTCCATGTCAGCTTCTGAATTCCCGGAGCAATCTTCTTGTCAAGGATTCCAACATGATGTTGGAATAGACGTCGCTCTTCGGGCTGAACGCACATCCTGACAAAGTGCGGCTGTGTGCCTCGCCAGCTGGTGGTGACCTTTATCTTCCCTCTCCAAAGTTTCCCTGTCTGCTAAAGACCGGAAAGTTGTGGAAGATTGGCTCCCTTGGAACCAAGCTTCCACCTCACCGGCTCTGGTTTTGTTCAGTGTATCGCTTACCGCTAGGCCCTCAAATATAGCGTTGTACGCCTTCACAATTCTTGAAACATGCTGCTGTAGAAGGAATAGGCGGTCCTGGTGCCTCATTAGCTCGAGAATAGAAAATGGAAGCCGGATAGTCTGGTCTTGCAAACACTGCCAGAAGTGGGCTTCTTGTAGAACCCGCTGAAGCCCTTTGTCAAAATTCAGCTCTAGCCCACCGCCTACAGAAGACTATAACATTACTACAGGAGCGCTTTCTGCCGGCTACCATGCAGGTGAATAGAAACATTCTGTCCCACGCAGGCTTCGAATATGTGCGCTACATAAGATCAACAGCGAAGTTTGCAGTGCCTCCTGTGTTTGCGGGGCCTATCCTGGACATTTCAGCAAAACGCATGGTTGCAAAAGGGCCCTACAGACTGGCTGACCTCGCCCTTTGGTGAGAATGTAGATGTCACAGCCGAATTGTGGAAGATCTGAAGGTTGACTAGCTTGCCCAGATGGATGCATGGTTTCAATCTCCTGCAACCATTCCTGGAAAGATTTCTCCACGAATTTCTGCTCATTTGAATCAACACAGTTTTAGGAAGACAAACAGTCAACTGATTTTTAGGGGTGCAAACGTCTCTCAGCTGTTGCTTCAATACATCCGCTATGCAATCTCCTGTATGGAATCCATGCACGCACCTGCAGCATGCTAGTTACATTTTGAAAGAGGTCAATTGCTTGCTCAGCGTCTTTTCCATCCGCTGGCAAAGCGACCCTCCGCACGGTCTGCAACTGTCGTTGCAAATATAGAACGGCTCCTCGGCACCAAAGAGCAGCGCCCGACTTGTTAGGATGGAGCACTCTAGTCACCAAAAACGCCGCCCGAGACCTTTTTAGATTATCGAACTGCTTTTTGATGGATAGTAGAGACTGGAACGGGCGCAATTGCAAAGCCGCACGGAAAGCTGCAGTGTAATACTGTCTTTCGACATCCTGATTCCTTAATTTCAATTTCGTCGACCCATCTGTGTGAGTGTGTCATGCCGCATGGTTCTTCTTGCCTCCACTTGACTGGATATTTTTACTTCCACTTGCCTGTAGAAAGAGCTTCCAGACGTCTCCGGCCTTCTTCTCCAAAAACCTTTGGATCTTGGGTCGTTTCGCTAGGACTTTGAAACCATCGTATATCTCACACGCTTCCTCAACTGTAGCAACTCGCTTAAATGCAGTTGCAATAATGTTCGTGTACATGCATTCCTGATCGCGAACCTGAAACGTTCCGCCAACCGGTGTTGCACATCTTTTACAGTCGGCATCAATGAACGTTCTGTGGGGATCACAGTTGCAGCCTCAAAGCAAGGTTCAAGGATCACAATGGCAAGCATCATCCATTGCTGTGTAGACGTTTCCTTACCTGCTCCTTGAATAGAGCATATTCAGTATGCCAATTAGTAGCTTTAACATGTAGCACGTTGCGCCCCATTGCACGCAACCTCGAAAGAGATTTTGCAAATGTTTCTTGCATATCTCGTATGTTGCTGCGAATTGATTCCGTTTGAAATGCGCCAAAAAATGGTAGGTGATTTTGAGGAACGTTGCTATGCTGAGCAGGTTTCGCCTGGAGTTCCTCCTGTGAGCACTCTGTTGCCCCCTGCAGGCTCAATTGAACTGTGGGGTTGAACTGGAGCTGTGCTTGGCAGACGTCTATCAAGTCGCTACACCTCTGTACAAAGGCATCGCTCTAGATCCAGCGCAAACAGAGAACCAAAAGGCAAAAAGTGTAAGCAGAGAACCAGGAATAGCAAAGTATGTGCTATGCTTTGGGAAAGAAATACGGTATTTCTTTCATCAGCTCCACTTTGAGTGTACTATGGCGCGATCCTGTCTACTTGAGTTACCTCTGCAAATGCCGCGCCGTCTGCAAAATCCCAGCAGCACAAAGCCTTTCCCTCCGCCTTAATCAGCGCAGAAATCTGGCTGAAAATCTTGTTGAGAGCTAGGCCACATTGAACCGCGTTTTTCAGACTTTCCATTGGCTCCGCCACGCTCCCTGACCATATAGAGTCAACATTTATTGAGGCCTGACCTCGCCTGATAATTTCACCAGCGATATTCCGCAACAGGCCTGTGGCGCACCAAAGCTCATTTGGGTGAAAATAAAGGCTTTCCGTATAGTTGAAACTGGCGGACTAGGTAGTCTGGAAGTCCTAGGTTTGTTCAGCAAAGAAGCCCTTTGAACTCTGGGGATGCTTCGTTTCCGTGCTTACCGCCAATCCTTTCAGGGGTCGTGTAGTAGTTACTGTGCGTTGCAACGATTCGTACAGCCATTAGAAGCCTAGTTGCTACTTGAGGTATTTGCGCTGAATCCGCTTCTCGTAGATCCTGACAAGGCTTCCGAAGCACTTCCAAAAACTTCAAGTTCTCCTCGGCCAGGTGTGCAGCAGCAGCAACTTCTTGCTGCGCAGCTCTGCAACCAAAACCACCTGGCATAACTATGTATGTGTTTCTGATGAGTTCTTAACTCATAGGAGACCGTTTTGAGCAGCCCTTCATACCGCATATCAGTGGGCGTCTTTAAGGAGGAGGGAATGTCACGGCGCTCAGAGAAACCCTTGTGAGCACACACTGAAATGGCTTGACGTAAGATGACTTCGCAGCATTTAGTATCTTGAGCACAGAATGTAAGGAGTCCTCTTGAAACTGTTGAAGAAGTGAAGCCAGGTTCTGAGCATGCTCTGTCCACCGCTGGATTTCTCCGAGATGCCCTGATTCTACTGCTCCCTCCGGGCCGTCCTGAGCACGTTGATGCCCTCCGCAAGAAGCAGTGTGAAGCTCGTTCGTGGAAACAATCTATTCGTGCGAAAAACTGCCTAAGGGGAAGACGCCTGATCGGCATATGTTTACCCTTTAGAAGCGTGATCTAACAGCACACCTGCAGCGCTAGGATTTCCTTCACTTGTCGTGTCCAACAGACAACGAGCGCTTCAAGCCTCTGTACAAGGTCCCGATCGTGTAGGCATCTTGCAGTATCACCAAGGTCCTCCAGTGGCAGGATCAGCTTAGCGCACCCTTGGGCGCGATGCACTATGTCCGTCATCCGGCTGACATAGCTACTCAGCTGCGGGGAAAGCGTATGCAGTGCTTATGCCTAACAACTCAGTATCACGTATTTGAGCACAATCCAGCCACATTTTCTAGGGATTCTCTATCCTATTAGATGCGTCTGCTCCACGATATCAGCGGCCAGCTCCTACCCTCCTTAGAAGCTCCCGTCTGAAGCTTTGTGGCCACGCGTTGTTGTCTCCGAGAATGGGGATATGGACTCCACGAACGATGGCCGCAAGCCGCATAAGAACGTCACCGTGGAATGAAAGGCATAACAGCTGCTCCTCTGCATTTCGGGACTTCACCAAGGCATTCCGCTTCCCGACAAAAACCAGTCCCTGTCCGGTAGGCTCCTCAACAGTTGTCTGCTGCAGCATTGGGCCGATGCAGTGAGAAGGAAGCTCGTCGCCAAACGAGAGCCTGGAAGAAGCCCATCTTTCCGCCGCTGACTCTCCCTCATCCTTGAGGTTCAGTGGATTTCTGCAAGAAGGTTTGCTCATCCACAGAAACCAGTGCCTGCGATTTTCGTCATTGCAGAATCTAGCGAATTCCCGCGTGTGCTCGGGTGTCCAATCTTCGTCTGCCACAAACCCAGGCAACTGAATTTGGGCGACAAGCCATCGCGCTGGCCCTTCACTTGCCGGCAATGAACTAGTATCTTCTGTCGTAGAGTGGGAACCCTGCTGTACTGTTCCGTTGCATTGCCCTAATCCTCCCACTGGGACAGTCGTCTCATCTCCCGTGTTCTCATCTGGTGTTATTACTGCAGTTTCAGCGGCGGCATCAGACATCATTGCTCAGCAATTTCGTCTCTTCAAATGCCGAGATATACTGTTCGGCTTCCGCCACTAGGGGAGCTGCTGAATGGAGGCCGACTGTCCTGCGAAATGCAGTTGAGTGTCCTTCTGCGACAAGCACCCAGCTCCTCCGGAATGGAGTTATAACAGGTAGTTTTACACTATAAGCTGTTCATGGATGGCGCGCGTCGGCTTTCGGCACTTCCCAGCAACCCAGGTAGGCTGACGAGAAGCTCAACCCCGAAAAGAGCCGGGAACGACTGTACAAAACGCTCAGAGCTCCTGAAGGTAGTCCTCAAGAAATACAACAGCCTTTGCCTGATTCTAAGGTTTGTAGACTCCTCCTCAAGGGTTCTGTACGCTCCTGCTTGATGAAGTNTGCGGAGCTTCCTGCAGGCGCTTTAGGTGCACAGAGACGAGTTGTGGCAAACCCAGAAACGGTTGATGCCCTTGAATGTATAGGCAAATGTGTTGTCGCCGCTTGTCTCCAGATAGCGTTCAACGCAATTACTCTGTGTACAGCTCAATATTCCCCCCGCATGCGGCGGCCGAAAGCATGTCGGCCAGTACGCACGGCAAACTCGACCGGCAATGGTTTATCCGGTTGTTAAGCGTTTACTCTGATTGTAGTGTGCAAGACGACTCCCTGGAGTACATGCCACTGCACCAGCGAGACACGTTGCACTCATGCACGCATCTATGCTGTAGATGGGTGGCGGTAGACAAAACAGAACGGCTGGCCTGAAGCCAAGGACCTCGTTCTCAAATGTAGCTAGCTCTTTACTAATTTGCCTCTAAAAATGTCTACGAAACACCGCATTCTAATAACAGAGGAGATATTCTGTGAAGTACCTATGTGCGCTGGTGTCGTTCTGGTCGAATTTCAGCTCGATTGCTGCTCTAAGCGGTCACGGTGGGGCAAGGAAAGTTTGAAAAAAGATTCGTGTGTACAAAAAGCCAACGCTTCCGGGTGCATGCAGATCCACAGAAGTTTCAACCCGTAGCCTACCACTGTTCTTTGTGGGGCTCACGACGGCGCCGCGCCATGTCTCCAGTGCTCTAAAGCGCAGGTGCATGTAAAAAGTTCTTAACGGCTATACTTTAGTTCGCAACCAGATATTAACGGAAAAACTTTGAACAGTTTATAGAAAATGGGGGGGGAGTACACCATTTTCGTGCGTTTTGACCATTGGATGCACCGTGGAGGTCACGCCATGTCGTGGGGTTTTGTGAACAAAACCGGGGCACGCCAGTTAGCTTAACTGCATGAGAGCTGCATAGTATTCAATGGCATCCCAGATTAAGAAGAACTTTATTTTGCATTTTACTCGAACTGCTGCATCGGATGTAGGGGTTGTTGTTTTTAAATTGATAAAAGTCATCCTAGAACACCGTAGCACGGGGCCGCCCATTGAATCACTTTGTGCCGCAGGGCAGTTGAGGGAGCCCCAATTATCGAATAACGCAATACAAGGCTGTTAACATCGAGATGATGCACAAGAAAAGGTCGATAACATACTATATCAACCGAAATCGAGTGGTTCGGCCTGGCCCTGTCTCTTAAGCACTTGACTGCCGCATAAGCCCTCGGGGGAGTAGTATTTCAGCAGTGGAGGCACTGCACCGCATTCTCTAAAGTTTTTCGTACCAAATTAAACCTGCCTTGACACCGTAAAGGAAAAAGAACGCCAGCTGCTGTTGCTACTGGGGGGGGAATGGGCGAAGTGAACTGCGAAGGGTGCAGCTCTACGCTTCTTGCATGTACTCATAGGTGCAATCTCATTGATCTGCACACGATGGAAGGCTGTCTTTCAACATAAACTCAAATTCGAGCGTGTCCTTCCACATCTCCGCCGACACATTCGCACCCTCTCTCTGTACGGCAGCTGCGAAGATTCATATGTTGCAACACTGTCGAAAACTACTGAAGTGAAGGTTGCTTTGCTAACTCGCTGTCACTTCATACCACGTAATATTGAAACGCCCGTTGAGGTCATGGACCGGTGCAGTTCTTCAAATTTGGCAGTTTACTTGCTGACTGATTGCACCTCGCGGGGTGTGTGCCTTTATTGGGTGTTACCGAATAAACTCCCGTGCGCCTTACTGCTGTTTCGATGTCGTCGCTAGACTTCTGTCCGGCATGACGTGCAGTAAGTTGTGCATGCGAAGTTATCCGTCACTGGAGTATCGGTGCATCGTATTACACTCAACGCTGAAGTGTCCCAGCGAGCCAACCAGTTCGACGTATGGTAGCAAGCGCATAGTGAGCAAGACTAGGTAAGAAGGTCGCGTAGGATTGAGTAATTTTGCATTGCGAAGAGTTTCTATAGAGCAAAAGCAACTTGAAAGACGAGATCTGGTGCGCAGTATTGGTGCCGCTGCCTATGCATCAGGGATATGTGCGCAACCCCTAGTTTGCAAGCTCTATACAGCACAGAGGCGGCAAAATCGTGTAGATTTTCTTGGGATTATGCAATACATACGAAAGTGAACATATTTCTCGTCGTGAGAAGCGAGTGGACTGTACGCCAACCAAGGGAACGCCACAGCACTCTGCCTAGCAGCACAGTGCCTCAGGTACAGATGAGAAGGAAACCCGATGCAAACGAGCAGATACGCTCAAATTGTAGCTTATATAATGCGCAGTATGCATTGGTTTGGGCCTGAATGCGTGTTGCAAGCGACGCTTGCTGCCAACGTGGAAAAAATCATTCTTATAATGGGCATACACTGCCAGCAATTTTGCGTTTTTCCAGTGCATGCACAACACATACATTCTCTGGCACTATTCAGGGCAACGCTGGTTTAAAAAATTTAGAAATTCCTGTTCTTGTGGGCTCATGTATCTGCGTCCCGCTGCGGGAAAGCGCTATGCTCAGAGCTGCCATTCTTGGTATGGTGGCACAGGAGTACACTACTGGTGCTGGCGCTGCCACAACATTTTCATGCGAGCGAAGGCATCCTAAAGTCAGTTGAATGATTGGCTTCATGAAGTAAAAACGCATCGCGCTACGAAGATTCCCACACTAACTTACCCCCTTGCTTAAGGGCCACGTTCCTGCTTAACGGGGTGTGCTTCCGGTACATCCTGGAAGAAAATGACGCTTCGCTCTCGTAGCGTATTAAGTTCTCGACTAAGTGCATTAATCAGTTCCGTATTTTTACGGAGTCGCATCTGCATCTGGGACACCATCCGTATTTCATCTGCTGGCTCCCAAGAAGCTGAACCATTCCTTCCAGCGGCGTCTGCCAAAGGAGCCCAATAATGCACAGGAGTTACACAAGTGTTTAAAGCAGTCCTATGTAGAAAACGGCGGTCACAGCATGAACTTGAGGGCTCTTCAAGGGGTGTTTGCCAGTGCATGATTGTTTTGTAGTCCCTGCAAAGGCAAAAGCTGCAAGACCTGCCCTTCTGGCGCAAGTTATATTCGTCCTACTGAACGTACACTTGTTGGACTGCTTTTCCTGAGCACGACGAAGGCCGACAACTCGCTGTTTAAAGTTTCGGTTCTGGTTGACACGCTCTAGCTGACGCTCTGTTCGTTCTATTGCGATTTCCTGTGAACCAGCGCGCGTCTCACCGCAGTCATATGCAGTAGTGCGAGAAAAGCTTTCCTATTTTATCAAACTTGGTTCTCAGCTTTGCCCCCAGCAACAGTTCAAATGCGGTCGCAGGTTGCTGGCAAACGGTATGTCCTAAGTCACCAGGAGGCCGTCGTAGCACCAGTATGTACGCTTGCCTTTTGCACCTGCCCTGTGCTTAGAAGCATATGCCATAGAACATACCCGCTGTTTAATCTCAGCTGTTACTGCAGCTGACCGTTTTTCGAGCTCAGCTCGCGCCTCCTCAAGCCTTTCAAGTTGAACCTCACTTTCTTGAGCATCCTTAAAGCCATCTGTAGCCAGCTGAGAAACCCACTGGTGGCCACTCATTTCCTTTTGTTGTTTCGGTCCTACGACCGAGCAATTAGCTGGCATACCGCCTCCTGAAAAACAACGATTTCGCTGAGACAGAATTCGCCGAAGGAGCCTGTCTAAAGTTGTTTCGGTTCGCAGCTGACTGTTGTCCAGTTGTGCGGTGCCTTAGGCCTTATGGCATTTGTAACTGTAAGCATTTTATTCGGAATGCTAGCAGCAGTGGAGGAGCTGATAGTTGCTCTCTCGATACAGTAGCAAGTTAACCGCAGTTGCAGTAAAAACGCGAAGGGGCATAGCGAACGCAGCTCAGCAGAACAAGGAGGCCTACCTGGCATCTGTAAAATCCGTTGCATGCTCCTGGTAATGCGAAGAAGATGAACATCTTTTGTCCTCTCACTAACATCTTTCGCCTCGAGCTCCAGTAAACGCGTTCGCCATTGTATTGCTTCCACTTGCCGGCGGAGTGTCTGAGATATTTAGGACGTACAGACCAGGGCCTGACGTTCATCCTAACCCTCTGTAAATGCATTGACAGGCATTTTTTGTCTAACGGACAGATGCATGGCTCCGTAGGGGGGCCCTGACCTTAATAGCTTGGAGGATCCTTAGCTTTTGGCGCCCGCTGGCGATGATATCTTGCTTATAGCTATCCACTTCCCTTTGGCTAACGAGGCAAGAGTCCGAAAAGTCGAAAGGCTCGCGAAGCGCAACGATTCGTGAAGGAAGCTCTCCCACAATCCCCCTTTTGACCCTCAACAGCAGGTCGACGTCTCGCTGCGCTTTTTCGAGGGCTTCTGAAGAGGCTTCTAGCTGGAGACGAAGAGCTGATTCCTCGGTCTGGCTTAGTTCTAGCCTCTGCAGGCACAATTTCGAGGTAGCGATCGACGTAGCGCACTTCCATTTTGTACCTTTTACCGCGGACATAGTGTCAGCTGCACCATAACCTCTGCAATTGACAAATTTAGTACGCAGCAGGCACCAAGTACCGTCTTGAGACGTGTCAGCTTCTGTTGCTCAGCGTCTGCTGCTTCAGAGGCAAGGACAAGCCGTCGCTGGGCATAGGCATTATCACGGGATGCCTCTAGAAGCTTGCAGAGTGGACCATCCGACCAACTGGCGAACTCCGCCTGAAACAGGCAAACCTGGTAGATTGGAAGTCCCTGCACTTCGTTAGCCTTTCACTTGCTTTAAAAGTGGCTCCGTATGTTCATAATCTACTCCAAAACTAGAGGATTGTCGCCTGGTTGCGAACTTCCGCCGTGATTACACAGACAGTCACCTGCTCACCTTCAGTGAGCCAACTGCCATATCCAAGCGAGAGCTCAAGGCTGCACATTCTCTCCTGAGAGCCTGCTCTGGTTCTTCTTCTGCCTCAACAGGACCCCCTTGATTTTGAGTCCCTTGGGGTGCTAATCTGCATTCACAACTGACTGTAGTTGTAGAGTATTTGTTGAGTGCCTACCATTGATGCAACGGAGGATTTAGGCGAGCAGATACACCGTAGCACTGAAGAAGAACCTATCTGTAGTTCTGGGAACTGCACTGTCTCACGCATCGTCAAGCCGTTTACTGAGAACGGACAGCACCTCCGAAGGCAGATGCACGGTCCCAAGTGCAGCTGTTAGTGCAGCTGTTTTATCTCTGTGTTCGTGCTGGGCTGATGTGCGCTCATCCTCTAGCAGCCAACAGGAACATTGTTGTTTCTGAAGCTCTCGGTTCGTTTCCTGTATGGTTGATCTAGAGGCTTCGAGCCTCGTTCGCAACTCTTTTCCTGTCTTCCTCCATGTGGTCTCTTGGTCTATGGTGTCCGTGAGCCGTGCGCCTGCTAACTCATTGAGCAGCAACTCCTCCTCATATACCAGCCTAGCATGGTCGTACAATAGCAGAAACGGCATGAACAAATCCAACTGTCCTCTATCACACCATTGTTGATTGAAGAGGACGACGGGAAACCCGCATGGGGGCCTTCAACAAATGGAATCAGTGCTTTGCAAACAATCTGGCTGTGGATTGTAGTCGGCACAGGCTCAATTATTGGATTCTACCCTCATTCTCTGGGTTCTGCTGTCGTGACTGCTCGCCCTATTCACCCTTATTGCATGGGCTAAGCCTCGTCACATCTCATACAGCTGCTCACTTCCAGTCTGTTAGGTTTTGAAGGTCTGCACGGAGCTGAACTGCAGCGGCAGTAAGTTCGCTCCTGAATGAAAAAGTGAACGCATGTATATTTCTCCTATTTATCAGAGGTGCCAATGTCGAGTTGTGAGATTCCAGTTCACTTCATCTGTAGACACTAGGGCATTCCTCCTTTTCGCAGCTATTTTACATTTTCCCTAGCACGGTTCATTGTGTGCATCTGTTGGGTGCTTTCCCTTCGTCCCCAAAGCATATCTACTGTATCTTCCTTCGTACGTTCCAAATCACCCCTTTTGTCATCTCGGCTTATCCACAGCAGACTACATTACTACCTTCTGAACTCCCCTACCTTATTTTTTTCAGTTCCCCTTGAAGCTTTGCCCTCATTGACTCCTGTTTCTCTTTTATTATCCTTAACTGCTCTTGGTAAGCCGCAAACTTGGCAGCCTGTGCATCTGTCATCGCTTCTGGAGCAACTGTTTCCATCCATGCTTCCCTGATGCACCGGTGACACCACCAAGTTGCAGTTGAAGCAACAACGTCTCTTACGGACAGCTGTACGTGGTGCCCTCAAAACAAAAGTGCATGCTGGAAAAAGTGCTAGTTACTTCTCCAAAAAGTACACCGCATAACTGAAGTGTAGAAAGAGTATTCAATCACCATTTGTCGGCTTTGATGTCGAGTGAGGCAAATGCATTTTCGGTGTGCAGTTTCCCCCCCATCATTTTGTCAAGGGCCCTGCGGGCCCCTGAATCTGTCGGATTGGCTCCTCTTGCTGCTGATGTTGTCCCATGATCGCCTCCGGAAGCCCCTGATCTAATTGGCTCCTTCAGCGCACTTTCCTAAGCGCCAAGAGGCAAAAAAGGGAGCAGCGGTAGCACCGCATCTCCTCCCTGCATGGCCCCTCTTGTGAACGGGCAGCAGTTCATAATTCCGATGATGTAGACGGCAATACCAACGTCGTCTATGCTCCATAATTTGCTCACCAGGTCTTTTACAGCGTCGGGAATGCAGGGTACTGACATCTCTGGAGCTGAAACATCAGCAGCCTCGTTCAGTTGAGCTGCGCATTCCCTTGCCTTAAGAGCTTGCTGCTGCATTTTGTCTATTTTTCGAAGGATACCTCTACTGCACTCCTCAAGCTGTCGATTGAAAGAAGCTTGGAGCTGCGCGAGCATGTATCAGGCTGACAACAAGTCTTAACAGTAGCGTGAACACTCGGCTAAACTGTCTTCGCTCCCATGGTTTAGAACATTGAGCGGGATTGCTAAGCATAACATTTGATTCAGAAAGTAACAATAAAGCTAGGCCGTCTGCACCATTTAGACCAGGACCGCCTTTCTGTTACTCGAGGCAGGCATCTGTCATGCTTTCCCACCTCAGCCGATATCTCGCGTAGAATCCAGAACTGTATACGGCGTGAGGCATCGGATGATATCAGTAATGGACTTTGTAGCATCTTGCTGAGGCTTTTTAGGGGTTCCTGAGAATATATCAAGCCCCGACGGTTGGCGGTTTCCGGTCCGCTTGAGGCTTGTTGAGCAGGAATCGCCGCTTCTTGTAGGACCCCCGTAGCTTCCTTACAACCTACACATAGGTCTCGGCATACTAAACGGGTATTCAGTTCGGGTAACGACGCGCAGCAGTCCATTTGTGGTGCATGCAAGACGGGTTTTCAGCAACTGCCTCCCACGCAGACACAACTTGCCAAAACAGTAGGTCACGTGGATGATCTTTGTCACCATGTGTTTCATCTGAGGTATGGTAAAAGGCCAGGTATTCTTGCGCGTTTCTTCCGAATCCTTCGAGAGGAGGTGCAAGGTCCTCTTTTTGCATGTCTAGCATTGACTCATGGACTGAGGTCACTCTCCTTATCCATTCACCCTCCCTCAGCTGAAGCTTCCTGAAATAAGGCAGAACCAAAAATTGCCCCGCTCTGAATGAAATTCTGTATTCGACGCGAGGCGCAACCTGACGTGACGAAGATGTAGGACGCCTACATCTGTGGTTAATGCACGGTTGCAACGGCAAAGCATTTTGCGCTGTAGGATGTCAACGAGCCCAAATATTTTTGACCACGATGAATGTGTTAAGTCTCTGAACTTTCCTCAGAAAAAGAACTTTCTTGGACAACGCTTTTTCTCTTGGCTTCCGCCGAAAGGAGAGGTAGGCTTTTGCATTGATCGTTTCTCCGGGATTTTCAGCAGCAATGCTTAGCTCCTTTGGCGCAGTGAGGATTGAAGCTTGTAAGTGCTGCACCAAGTTTTGATGAAACGCGACAAACGCATGCTGAAGCAGCAGCAAGTGCTGCTGCTTTTCCTTCTGGCTCGCTGAGGCTCGTTGGTTAGCGAGCAGCCGGACAGCCGCATCCACTTTTTCTGCTTCTCCTTCCAGGCCGCGAAGAGCAGGCGTTACCTGAAGTATCAGAAACGCCAGGATATTGCCCACCGGTGGAAGCTTGGTGGATGCCAAGGTCCTTAGGTCTTGGAAGACGAGCCCCTAAAAGCATCTTTGTTTGAATAATGGTTGTGCTAGGTGTAGCAGAATATCCTCACTGCAACTCTGCCGAGAAGAGCCTGAAGGTCTCCCTTGATATTTTCTTTTTCTTGTAGTATAGCGTCAAGCTGCTGTTGCACATCGGGAGTCATTGATATCCGGCGTTTCAAATAGAGGCGCGACTTCTTCGGTGACAATGAGAGATTAGGCGGGCCCTCGTTATGGTCTTCTCGGGTTCCTGAATACTGGAGGAGTTCTCCTGACAGTGGGCCAGATTTAGGAGCAGCTGTGCTGCACGCAGATGTTCCCCAAAACAGCTGCTGGGGGGCTGGTTCTAGCCGCTACACCGGACAATTCACGACTGTGGAGAATGTAGGTTTGTTTAGACAACAACAGCAGGTCATCTATCGCCACGGAGATCGGCTGCCACGATCGTGTTAAGAGACTGGTCTTACCAGGAAAACTCCAACTTAAATGACGCGTGGGGCGATGCACATCCAGTATGCAGTCCTGGCTGTTCTGTGCCGTCTGCTAGCAGCCGCAGTTGTAAGATGCCAGGTTCGCCTAATATAGCAACAGGCACAGGTCCACCGTCTACTCGTGCCGTTATGATGAATGGAGAATAAATTCGACGGAAGCTTCCAGTAGAGATAGATACGGGCGCGGTAGTTGGCGGTAGTACTCTTAAGGTGTTCCCCGCCGCCTGGCTATGTATTTTCCTGTCGGGAAGAAGCGAGCGCGAGAGGGGGGTCTGCAACAATCCTGGCTCCAGGAGCATCTCAAAGAAGCTCCCATCCACTTGCAGAGCCAACAGATGAGCTGTAGTCTGTGCAGTGGAGGTGCGTTCCTTTCTTTCTGCATCTGTCGCCGTGTCGCAGCTGTAACAAAGGAGTTGGACACGTTGTATCGGAAGATTTCCGAAAGAGACGCAAGTAAGCGGTGTGGTAGCTGCAGCAGCAGCAAAACCTGCAACGCAGCTGTAAGATTCACTGAGAAGGTCTTGCGTACAGAATACTAAAACCCCTCCAAATGCGGTGCCGACAGCTAGTAGGGGGCCTCGACTGGCAACACAAACTGGTGTTACACTCAACCGACTGCAGCAAGTCTGAAGTACAACGAAGCCGCACCAGAGTGAGCAGAACTTTAGCAGTGAGAGACTCGTTTGTCTTAAAGAATGCTGGAGCAAGTATCTGGCAACATCTCATTATGTAGGGTGTATCCACTGGAAAGAGGTTTCTTCTGGGGTTTTCATTCAGGCTTGACCACACGTGGCAGTCAGGTTAAATTCTGAAGCAGATGTCCATTTCGCTTGTTGCGGCCACAGCTGTATGGATCGCCGGAAAGGCCTACTTGTGGGTGGCATGAGGTCGCATCGCCATTAACGTGGGGCGCGAAGAAGGCAAGGCCACTGAGTGGGGCGCCGGAAACAGTCGTTACGAAACCAAGCGCAAATACACCAACAGGAGCTTCACAGTGAGATTTCTTTTGTTCGTTATGGGGCTGGAGTGTCTGCCACATCTCAGATCCCTTGTCCAGCCAACAACCGCTACACTCGGGAAGCCGAAGACGCCCAGGCGATATGCTTTCTTTTGTCGGCATTGACTGCAGGCGGGCAGACAGATAAGCTAGACAGCAACTGTTCTATTCCCTTTTGCTATGCTAGTTGCAAACACCTAATATTAAATACCGCAACGATCTAACAAACGAGTTGCATTACGGTAGACGAGTTCTCGGCTAGCCAGGAAGGCAGGAAGAACCTCTTCAGGACGGTCACGGCGAAGCCCTCCGGAGCATTTGTATTGTCTTTTTCAGTGTGTGCCGGTAATAAAAAGAAGGTCACCTCCCCGCTGGAGCAAACTGCAGCCCACGCGACATCATCGAGCCTCCCAGTTGCACCAGGAAGATAGCTCTGGTTCATTCGTGACAAAGCAGTCGATATGCCTATAATCCTCACTCCCACCAGACCTTTTATTGGATCTTTCGATACCCTACATTTCGCAAAAGGCGCAAAACTGCGTGGGTAGGGAAGAGCTCTTCGTAGACTAAATTCTGGTGCAGATATTGTGATTTTTTAACGAACGGCACAGTAGCATTCTGGTTGACCCACCGGCATCTCTGCCGGACACAGCCGTCTTCTGTCCAGGCAACTGTGCCATCTGCAAAACCTAGGAGGCATCGTTGATCCTGGTTCTCTTCTGGCCTATGTTCGCTGCCACTTGCGCAGTCCGTTGTGTACCCTAGGCAGCTGATGGGCATCCCAGTATGGATGCATTTACACAGTTTGGAAGACACCTTTAGAACTTCTTTTTCCCTTTCTGCAGATATCTTCCACTCCCTACAGCGTTACATGCTCGACACCAGCGTCATCGAAGTATCATGCATGTCCATGAAGTTCCAACTATCCTATGTGAAGGAATTCCTCTTATATGCCTATCTAAAAGGAAAGCGGCGTCCTTCTGTGGGCCAGCAACGGAAGCTAATCCCCTTGGTGATCTGGAGATGGTGTGGCAAAGATGATTGAAACTTTTTGTGGCCTCTGGGGGGATCTCAAAACGCTTCATCAATGCGAAGATGTTCCTTACGTGACTGTTCCGGATGCATGTGCTGCCATCATAAGCAGGCTTAGGTGACCGGGATCGGAGGAATCACAAGCAAGCGTCATGCCGACCAGCCCGCCGAAAAAGCCACCGCAAATAGCAGGTATCCAGCTCAGCTCACTGCAGGGTGGGAGCAAACAAACTGACGAGAGCTACTTCACAATTCTATACTAGTTTCATCAAATGTGTGACACGCCTTTGCAGAGTGTGAACATCCTCACTTTCGTTCGTCCCCATCAGAATCGTCCGTCGCAGGGGATTTATCAATCTCTTGCGGGCTGTTGCGCCTACCCCATACTTCGGCCTGAAGTAAAAATAGTATCAACGCAGTAGCAAAGAATACAGAATCCGGATCACAATGAAATTCAGCAAAAGCTGCGACAGTTTGCCTTGAACTCATTACTGAAGTACTAAAGACCCTCTGGCTCCTCTGTAGCTCAGAAATAGTTGCATGCAAATCTCAGAAAGAGTATGAGGGAGAAACATCAGCCACGCGGCAAGTAGAAACGCCAGGTATTGTTACGTTCCGGACACACCCGAATATGTCGCTCTTTGGAGAGGCTCCACATGCAGCCTGCAGCATCGGAAAGAAGGAGCGGGGCGAGCTCGTCACTGCGGCTGTTGAGAAGTCGTAGACACCCCGCAGTCCTAAATTCAAAAATCATCAAGCCGGATGATTCCAAAGGACTAAAATGGACTCAAACGGCGCATATGTTGTGCTTCCCCATCCGCGGAACTGGGTGTTTTGTTATAGCTCTCTGGAACGCTCACCTGCTTGGAGCACCGTAGTCGCGCATGCCAACTGCTGTGGGGAGGTCAACACGAGTTTGGCGTTCCAGCAGAAGCAGTGGAGCAGAAAATCCACTAGGGGGGAATAAAGTGAGGTAATTTCCCCGAACTGAACTCGGTTTCACAAACGAAGCAGGGCTCGCTTTTGATTTGTCCTGAAGTAGCCGAGTGAGAATCGCCTTGAGCTCTTTCTGTTGGCCTCCCTGCATTGTTTCAGAAGCCGCAAAGTTGAGCACGCCAAGTCTCAACGATGAGAAAATAACTTGCGTCTGTCCCAAACGCTCATGCATCGCTACGACGTTGTCTACGTGATCAGTAGTATATAGGCAGATGGTTCATCATTCCTTTAACGCCCCCGTTCCCCGAAACAGCAAAGCCCCATTCTGATTGCTGGGAACACGCCCCATCATTCCGGTTGGTGCAGCCAACTTACTTCTGCGTCTTGAATTAGTCTTCCGACTATTCCTTGGTTAAGCTTGTAGGTATGTAGAACTGATGATTCTGTTAACCCGAACAGCATGCCCGTCCCGTCCTCCGCTGATAGTGATATGTACCTTTCCTCTGAGTTACTGGCCCACGCAAGGAAAGGCCCGCCGGCCCCTAGATGCCCTACTCCGATTGCAAGCAACATTTTGTTGCTAAATGACATAAAAAGAAAACTATGATTAATGCTGTTCTGACTCCCCTTTGCAGTAGGGGCAATCCAGCATGCCCCGAAAATTGCTACGTCTTGCCCAAAGCCGAGGGGGTCACCGTGATTTACTGGGAGCAGTAGCCCAGAAGTTACAATTTTGTCTTCGTTGCTCTGAAGTATCTGCAGGACCATCAAGTTAGTTTCGGAAATGACGGCAAAGATGCCGCTATTTCCGGCCAGTAGCCTTGTGGGGGAGGAGGTCGAGTCCTCCCAGTCCAATAGATGAGAAGCTTGAACTTTTCCATCAAACGCATTCAGAACTGTAACATGATATACCTTGGGATGAAATTGTGCTTGCTGCCCCTTCGTCGTCCTCAATCCAGAAGACAGGCAAAATAATCGGCGCCCGCATGGTGAAAATTCGAGAGAGAGAACCTCCGTTGGGCTTGCAGTAGTGAGTAGATGCCTCCACGCGCACTTTGGAGGACTGGAAGACAGCTGAATGACTTTAATCCTTGCCGTGATGCCCGAGGCACCGAGAGCCACAAGCTTTCTTGCGTCATGGCTAGCACAGGAGACGTATGGGCATCGGCCTGCCTGGTCCTCACTCTCCCCTGAACTGCTGGGAATATCATCTACTGAAATATATTCGGTTTCTCCGCCCAAATACGTGACTCTTAAAAACCCTCCAGAAATCTCACAGATACGACCATCAGAAAAGGAACAAAAACTTTCGGGTTTGGAACCGCAAGATAACAGCAAAAAGGGTTTTCGAGAGGTGAGGGGAGCCAACATTGCAGCAATTGGCCAGCTCAGGAGAGGAGCCAGTTACTTGGAAAGTCTCAATTCGCAACATATACCTCCTCAGAGGGGAAGTCTGAGATGGAGACAGAACCAGGAAGGGCAACGTGCACCGCACAGCAGGTAACCTGGTGTAGTGCCTAGGGTTCAGTAGCGCCTAAGGGTTCCTAAGGAGACAGATGACCCTACTTCGGCCTTGTCGTGGAGAATTCGAGCGCCCATGCATCTCCTAAACATGTAATTTCGCTACATCGCTTTGCCTTTGGACTAAAAGGCCAAATTCAGAGCGTTGAGTACGCGGTACAGGATCTGCCTTGGTCCCTAAACCCTGAACCACGGCGCCAGAATGGGCCCACCGTGACAGCAGCCCACTTTGGAGGCAGGAGTAACAATACAAGCTCTTTTTGCTTATGCGAAATTTTGCTTTTCTGGTTCAACGCTGCAGCTCCATGGATACTTAACCTGTCTACCGACGGTCGACTGGATAGAGCCTTTGAGCAGCATAGCTCAACTTGTTCCTTGAAAGACTAGAGCAGGTATTCAGAGATAAACAACTTTGCGTGTAAGCACGAACTTTTTTTTTATGTTGTGTAAAAGCAGAAATACGCGGAAGTCAACGATTGCTTAGGGGGACACGGAGGCAGCCCTCGAAGGTGACCTCTGTCGAGCTGATAGCAACTAGTTCGCCTCCGAATATCGTGCGTATGCTGCAGTCGGATCTAGTTGTATCCGTGCCGAAGGAGTTCTGCAAAAATGGGGAGTGAATGGATGGGACTGTCGGCGTAAATGCTCGGCTGAGTTCACCGGTCGGTTGTGGTCGAGCCCTCTTACGGTTCGAGACATCTCTGAGCGCTCACTGGCATGTAGGTACTCTGCAGTCAAACGTCCCGTCAAAAGCAGTGAAGAGTTTACCTGGACTCAATATCTGCTTCAAAGGTTGTTCCGTTTGCTGGACACTGGACAGATGATGACAAAGTTGAGAACTACATCCGGCCCTCGCAAATCTGCTGGGAGCTCGTTACCGTCAACTTCGGCATATTCCGCCGCCTACGCTCTCCCTTCATGCACTGCCATGGTGTTGCTCTAACTGAATGACCTTACTGCCTGGCATTCGTTAGGCAGCTCTTCCAACGTTAGATTCACCCTCTTCAGGAAAATGCCTCGTACTCCTATTGTTGCACGGGTCTCGTTGATCTACGCATCATAGGAACTGGCCCTCCGCTTTGTAAGAGACAACTGTCAACAAAGACTCCGGGGATTGCTTCGGCTAAGCGGCTAAATACTGCATTGAATACAGCTAAGGAGCAGTGGTCGCTGCTTTCGTTTCTCATTCTCCTCGTTGATAAGCTGATACCACCAACTAGGTCAACCACACAATGCATGATGTCTCCGTAGCGCAATGGCGTATAGGTACGTGGCTTCTAGTTGCAGCTGGTAGTACTGCGGCAGCGTTACATGCAGTGTGCACTGCAGGAGCGCCACCGCAGGTGACAAGTTATTCATGTCCTCACATTTCATCTGGAAGCACGTTGCTTTTGAATACCGGACGATCAGCGCAAGAGTATGGATGACAGACGGCAGCACCTGCGTCGTCTGTTGACAATAGCAATGTTCCAGAAGATTGGAGCAGTATTACATCCTCAGACATGGCAAAAAGATCAAAATCCAGCTTGCAAGTGTCAACTAAAGCCATATTACGTACTTGAAAATCTAAAGTAGTCTATATCTGGCTGCGAGACCCCGCAGCACTCTCACCACACCTATGTGTGCAAAACGTTAGCGCCTTCTCTGCGAATTTAATTGTTGTATCCCGCTGTTCATCGCCTTAAACTGCTTAACAGATAGAATGTGCAGCATTTAATGAACACCATGCGTGGATGGGCAGTATGGACTCAGCACGCTTATTGCGCTCTCTACACAAATGTGGGCTGCGGGCTCGCGCCACCGCTTTAGATTCCCGTTGCTGCACCCTTCAGTAATTGCCCCCCTGTTGACGGATCTAGCTATGATAGACGTTTAGACTCAAGCTGATTGTTGAGAGCCCTGCCCCAAATTGTTTAGGGGGGTCAGCGCAGCGTAGTTGTGACGTTTGTAAAGATTGTCTCTGTGTGCAGCGCCTGAGGGATTGGGATGTTACACCGGTGTAACCTGTAGAGCAGGTTTAAATTCAGTAGTTTGATCTTAAATGTGAGTGCAATGACCCGCACTATGTGTAATCAGTATCTCTTCAAAAAGCATGCAATAATCCTCACAGGGGCTCGAATGCTTCCAAGCCCCGCAGCGTGTCCGCTTGCAGCGCTGCCGTCGAATTATATAAAAGGTTGTCCACTCAGCAGTACAATCATACACATTTGCGTGAGCATTGGTGCACCCATATGCCACAAGGCGGCACTTGAAATGTGCTCACGAGTGCTTGCTTTTGGCAGCTAAGCAAAGTTCGTGATGTTTTGAAGCCACTAAAAGATGAGCATATTGAAAAGTAAACAAAACAAGCCGGTGGTTGAAAAGCTTTCTCCTGGTGTCATCTAAAGTGTGATGTCCTGTCGAAAGGCGGAAGGTCCAAGGAGGAAGCAGCTGCTGGCCTTGCAACTTAGTGACAAGAAGGCACGTTTCTCCCGGCCCATCCCTCAGTCCTGAAATTCTCGCTGGTTCGTAGCAGTTATGCTGTGAATCCATGAATGATTCACTTGTAGGTTAATTCATGCTTCGAGCAGAGACAACCACAGGCTCAACCAAATTTCAGTCGGGCTGACGAAACATCGAGGTTAACACTGAATCTCTACAAATAGTGACTTACGGGGAGGCTATAAAGGCTCGCTAGACAGTGTTGCAATATCTGCTATCCTTACCCTCTCCTAGTGCTCGCTGCAGAGTTTCAAGTGCAGCGGGCTGGGAAGCCACCGTTGGCCTGCGATGGAAACAAGACGTGTTGCATCTCCCGATCGGCTAACCCTGCCAACGCTAGATATTGAAGAAACAAGTAGCTATATGGCTGTAAACAGCTAACATATTGTTTACTGGTAGCCACAATCAGCATTTTCAGTGGAGCGCCACCGCTTTCCGTTATAGTCAACGTCAATTTTCTTACCCCATGGACCGATAAAGACTCTGCAGCATGCCCTCTAGGCATTCAGCATGATACTGTATTTCCGCATTGCAAAGTTGGCTTTCTTCGTTCGCTTCCGCTGGCTGACTCGAGGGTGCACCACCTAGCCGACGCTTCTGTATACTTGTTTGCAGCTTAAGCCTCTGCTTTATCGACCTCTGCAGCTTTTCGTCGACGCTATTGCTTTCGTTCTCCACGTCTTTTCTCTTTTCGTCAACATGCTGCAGCAGCACGTAGCAGTGTGTGCCGTGGTCACCATGGCGCTACAATAGCTTCAGCATATATTATAGATGGGTCGGAAATCCCCTCCCGAAGTAGAAGGCAGAACTAACTCTCTTGAGAGAGACTCTAGGCTCCTTTTGGGCCTTTGCAAAAGGCAAATGGCCTCTCAACTGCGAAGTTGTTTGACACACCCTTAGTCTCTCCAGAACGCGCTGATGCTCCTGCTTCGTTTGTTCCAGGCACCGCTCCTCCTTCTCGATAGCTTCTTTTAGCAAGCAGATTTGCTGTTGTTGTGTAAAAGCCATGTGATTTCTAAGGAAGAGTGCTCCTTCTTTCTCCGCTTTCTGCTCACGTAGAGCTCCGACGGCTCCGGTTTCCCGTTGAAGTCTCGAGCGCAACCGGCTGTTGGAGAGAGATACATCCCTTAAAGAAGCTTCAAGGCCTTGTACCTCTACGCTAGCGCTCTGCAGCCTGCGGTGCATTTCAGCACCCTTCCGCTGGAGCTCCTCGCGTTCCTGTAGAATGTTCGCAATATCCAGGCTTCTGTCGAGTAACTCCAACATCGGCTAGTCTTTCGAGGACGACTTGGGCAATACCGCCAGTGCGGTAGCCACGCCGTCCTTTATTGAAGAGGTGTTAAAGTCAGCTAGTTGTCGTCCTGAGCTTGAGAAGCTGTGGAGTATGCCAGAGATACCTGCCCAACCCTAATGACGTAGTAAGCCTGGGAGCGTCCTGCGCCGTCGGCCGTCTGGCTGCTCTGAGCGTAAGCCCAAACAAAAACATTTTACATAATTCCTCTATGGGGTTCGTAGAGGCCTGCAGACAGCAGCGGCGACTACCAATAACGAGTTGAGCAGAGGGCACCCTGCGCAAAACGGGGCACCTGTGTATGCCGCCTTCAGATCGGAGCAGTACCCACAGAAGCAGTAGCACGAATTGCGTTCACCCATTCACCTGCATAACGTTTTCGTATCTTGCTTCCAGCGCAGATATTTTGGATCTTCTCTCGGCCGCCTCCTTATTGAGCTTGCGTTTCTCTTCCTCCACCGCTCGCTGCGCCAGAAAACTCAAAATCTAGCGAAAGTGCATATCTAGGTGAAGGCCTGAAGAAGCTTCAACTCACCAGACAAGAACAGTACAGCTTTTACAACCAGCGAAGTAGCTAATTAGGTATTTTTCAGTGACAGCTCACCAGCTGTCCTCTAGCACCATCCAACTCCAACTCCATCGCAGCGAGGACTTCTTGCACTTGCAGCTGGTGTTGCACTTTCCTGTTTTCTGCCTCTAGAGAGGCATCCGCACACGCCTCCAATTCCTCATGCAGCCGCGTGACCTGATGATAACAGCTTAGCCATGTACTAGGAAACTCAGGGAAGCAAGTACGTAGTTTTCTCAAGGAAAAAAACCAAACGGATTTCTACTCAGAATCGTTTGCGGTTTCCACCAGCTGGAATTTTTGAAGGCATTAGAGGGTGAAATCAAAGGCCTGTGATGACCTCTAGCTTCCTGAGCGATTCAGCAAGAACCAGCTTCTCCTTCTGCTTGACAATCGTTTGTAGTTCTCGGTCAAGGGACGCGCAAGCCAGGCGAATGTCCCCAACGTTGTTAGCGCAGCGACTGTCCTCTTCATCGACCCTGGCAAGTGTCCGTTGAGCCTTCCTGCTCAACCAAATAGGATAGACGACGACTCGAGAAGTTAAAGGTAGATGATGCTACGAATTCTGTGTTGCGGATAGGATTTGTTGCAAATTTGGATTGGCCTACAATGGCAGTGGACACTTTTACCTTAATTCACCGTCAAGGTGCTTGACTTGAGAGGAGAGCGTTGACTGCTCCTCCTGTTGCAGTGTAGATTCCTATTTATTGACAGCGCATACCGACAATGCCAGTACAGGCTTGCAGGACAAATCTGAGGCGGTTATCTAATCCATACTCAGCCTAGGGCATTGGAGTGGAAGGAGGCTGATGCTTACAGCCTGTAGTTCCTTCATCTGTTTCTGGAGGGCTTTTGTCTCTGCTGCAGTTTTATAACCCGATATGCGGGAGACTCGTCGCTGCATTGCTTGGCACTGGAAGTCAATAGAATACAGCAGTTCCTGTTGTCGGCTTTTTTCTGCTTCCTGCTGTTGCAGCTGGGCCTGAAGAAGGGATCGCATGGCCAGTTTGTGCCTCCAGCTTACACTTGCAGAGCTTTTTGGGCGTTTGAACGTAAACGCAGTATACACAGACAAGCAGCTGCTAATCGCCATAGCAGAGGAGCCAGATGATGCCTTCCTAGGCGCTGCAGTATTGCAGGACAACGCCACCGTTCCTGGAGCTTCCTCTAGACGTGCAGCAGGATTGCAGGAAATCACTTCTATATTGCACGTAAGCAGATCAGCAAACCTCATGTACAAGAGTATGCGCTTAGTGTGGATGAAGAACTCAACGTTTGTGTAAATACGTCACCTTTTCACCATCTCTTCCTTACTTGAAGACTCCTCAGAGCATTTTTCGAGCTACTTAATCCCCCACGTTTCATCTTCAGTGTTGCCTTTTCCTCCGCAAGCTTTTGCGCGACTACAAAGAGAGCGTCTCTGCTTGACTTGACCCGTTGTTGCAGCTGCTGCAGCCGGGTAGCCACCTGAGTATGAAAGGCTTCTCTTGCATCGCCCGCCTCCCCAGCCGACCGAACGTTCTCTTGTTCCTTGGCTAGTTTTCTCTGCGCTGCCTCCTTTTTTTTATTCGTGGAGTCTAGTCGCTGCTTCTGAACAGCGAGGCTCTCGTGGAGCTCGACTAGCTGCCCTTTTGCGGTCTTCCCTCTGGTTGCAGTAGCGGAGAGCTGTCCTCTTAGACCGGCCACCTGCAAAAGTACAATTTCGAAGATACGTTTGGAAGCTTACTGCATCCATATTGATTGCAAAAACTCATGCGGTTTGCAACGTCCTGGATTGCACCAGTTCTGACAGGTTGTTGAATCTGCCAGTTCCGGCCTTTCAAAGGCAACGGAAGCAAGAAGAATAAACTCTAGCTCGTACTCTCCAGTAAACTCCCGAATCGATCACTGCTGTCTATTTGCGCTCAGTGTTCTTAACAAAAGGTATCCGTTCCTTAATAAATGGCCCGCTGGTGTATCCATCGGTTCAGGCTGGGTGTCAAAGAGTGTCGCAGTGAGCCCGTCACATCCCTGCTAACCTCTTCCGTCAATTGGCTAACAGCCATTGTTGCAGTGGAGTAGGTCGACCTGCACTGAGTTAGCTGTTGCTCTAAGCTAGCTATTCCCCCTTGAAGCTCCTTATTTTGGCTCTGTTGTCTGAGGGCGAATCCCTTGGCAGCCGCTGCTCACACACTTGCAGAGCTGAAGAGAGTGTTGTAGGATGAAGAACGCATGGCAGATGCCAGCGAGTACTACAAATACACGGGCAACTCACGCAACGCAGGCTACTGGTGCAGATCTGGTGAAGGCCAACGCAAGCTCAGTGTCTAGCAGCTGTTGCTACCTAGCTTCTCCAACTGTTGCTTCAGTCTTAGTTGCGCCCTTTCAAATGCACGGGTTGATCGCTCAATGCGGGAATCGCTCCTCCACATCTCTTCTAGAGTAGTTTCTCTGTCCACAGAAGGTCCAAATTAAAGTTCGCACCGATCCCTCCATCAACATAAAAGGGGAACGTCTAACAATACAACACCATGTTTTTTCTCATCGGCAGCTCAAGAGGGCATTTAATATGCAGGCTCTTTGGCCTCACCCCTGAGCGATCAGAAGTGCTCTGTCTTTCTGCTGCTCGGCAAAGTACTCTAAAGACCGCTGAAGCTCTGCCCTTGCAGCACGCGCTGCGGTCTGCTCTTCCTGTAGGCGTTTCTTTGCCTCAGTCACTTCCGCAGAAGCCTTCTGTGCCTGTGCCATTAGGCCTGCAGCTCGCACGTCGTCTTTTTTCTTGAACTCGGCGATGCAAGCCAGGTCTTCCTAAAGGACCCCGAAACAGCACATGGTACCGTGTGTTCTACTTTGCCTCCGAACTCCAGCAGAGAAGTTGCACGAAATGCGGTTTGAAGCGAACGGCACGCAGAAGCTGCCTAGCAAGGGATTCTTATCGGAGCAGGCAGTATTTGGCGTTTTAGACCATATACTTAAGTCCACTTCGCTCCAGCGGACAAAATTATGCATTCCCGGGTGCGATGTCTCATTTTGGTATTCGGTGCTGGCGCCCGTCTCACTTCTTTTTGGTGGGCAGCCGAGCGCCATTGGGCAAGTTCCTCTTCATTCCACTTCATCTGCAGTTTGAAGCAATCCATTTGTTCCTGTCCCTTAGCAACGTCAAGTTGCAGTGCCGTGAGTCTAGATTGGAGATGCTGCTGCTGCTGCTGGTGTTGCTGCATCTCGCTTCTGAGCTTGCTGGCTTGGCGAACCGCCACCCCCTCCATGTGTTTGTCGCTGTTTATGTGGGCTTCCTTTGCAGCCACGAGGTTTTCTAAATGGTCTGCCTCGGCTTTCAACTGCTGCAGATGTTGCCGCATGAGCACTACTCGCTCAGCTTTCTGCCCAAGCTCTGTTCCTTGTCTGGACAGTAGTCGTTCCTTATCCCGTATCTCGCCATGCAATGCGATGCTCTCCTCGTCAGCAAACGCAGGCAAGTCATCTTCCTCCTCTACAGTTGTGGATTCGGCGTCCTTCGGTTCAGAGTCGGACTTATATACGTCAATGTTCCGTAATTGTGTGCCTGCTGCTGCAGGCAGTCCCATGTGCGTTTCATCGAGGTGTCCTCCTGTCTCCATGGCTGCTGCTGCTGTTTCCGCTGCTGCTGATAGAAGTGCAGCTGCAGTTTCCGACGCTAACGCTGCAGTGGTCGAGATGCCCCTGCTCGCCATTGCACTTGCTGCTGAAACGGCCGGGCCGACAGCGGTGCCCGTAGTGTCCGACATTGTCCGGCAAGGAATCTCTAACGTGGGAGCCGACAAAATCTCATTATGTGCGGCGTATGTTGCCTTAGGTAAAGCCTCCGCACCCACTTCTTCCGTCTTTGCTATCTCCAGGGAGCCGCCAACTGCTGATTGTGCCCCGAACTGCCGTGTTGTGCTGTTGCCGCCAACTGCTGATTGTGCCCCGAACTGCCGTGTTGTGCTGTTGAACATCCGCGTATCCGCCTCCGTGATAGCAGATGCAGCTGCACTTCAGGCAAGCTTATTTACTAATTCAATAGTAACGGAAGTGTCTGTTTGATCTTCCGAAACATCTCTGCCCACTTTCGATGGGTGTCGTTGCAGATCCGCCGTTCGCCGGGTCAATTAGTTTCGCTGGTCCTGCAAAACCTCGAAATTATTTAGCAGAATTCGGCAAATCAAGCTCATTTGCCTCGAATTTNGTATCAACTAGTAGGGTCGTCATGCAAGCGCATCTGGTGTCGCGTGCAACACGCAACTGCTTGACTGCTTTTACGTGTCTTCATGCCTGAACCAAGTGCGCCCAGGTCATTTGCATCTGTGTAATAAGCCCTGCCCCTTACCCAGATTTTAGACGATCGCGCCAGCTGGCTTGGCTCCGACTTCACATGGACGCAGCGCCACGGATTTTTGCCCAACTTCGATAGAGCATGCCTCATGTTGAAGACTTCGCTGGCTACTCTCGTCTCCTCTTACTTCCAATGTTTTGGCAGGAATGCACAGGCGGATGCCGCATTAGCGAGCGCAACGAACGCGCATCTCCGTGTGCTCGCTTCCTGAGCGTGTAAAATCTGCAGTCTCTGCTTGGGCAGTGTAAAGGTTTCCCGAGCTTCTTTTCTACAGAGGAATGCTTTCCAATGTGCCTTCTAAACCCAAAGGAGCATGGACAACCCTGTCGCCATGAGCAAGCATGTAACCACTCGTACGGGCTGTCTGGAAACGACAGGACTAGGGTCAACGACGCCTTTCTCCCTCTTCAGAGGCCCCAAGCGGAAGGTCCCAAGGAAAATGCTGTATTTCTTGTAGAGTATTTAGACGGAGTGGGTCAGTCGGGCTGGAAAGAGCCGGGTGGGTCTCTGTGGGGCTTTTACGGAGTGACCCTACGGGACGATCGTGCAGGAAGCTGGACAAATGACTGAATTTGGTGTTGATTCACGGACACAATTAAGGGTGAGAGCTTTCTATTTGCAGTTATCATACTCTAGTCGTATATGTCTTGTCGCAACGCGCACCGTCCTATTCAGACCCGGCCAGTACGGGTAGGCCAAGTTCGCGAGCCATTGGCACAACCGGTATTGTATGATCACTGCGGCTGGGTGTTTCCTCCTTATTACTTCAAATATTTCCATAAAATTAAAGGATATAGGTTTACTGGGACCAGCCCAAAGCTGGAGTGGAAGGCTTGTTCGCCCTTTCCCTCCTCCCACCTGGCTGAACGATGTTCTGTGAGGTGGCGTGAGGTAGTATTGTACCTGTCTGCTGTATGGTTTCCATTCCGGTAAAGTTGCTACTCCACGTACAGATCCGCAGTGAGTACCTATCCGAAGATCTTCTAAGCAGGACAGTAAACATAGGAAGGAACTGACGAAATAGCTCCCACGGTCACTAGTATCGTATGCATCTCCGCAAAGTACTCAGGCGGAAGAACATAAACCAATAATGGAGATATTGGAACGCAGCTAACGATTCGCTGATAAAGATTGTTCCAAAGTATATGAGAAAATAAGTTATGCGGGGGTGGTTCCGAATGACCCAGAGGGCCACAGGGTGCCCTCGGGAGCAGGTATGCTGCCGACTCCGGAAGTCGTCTGCACCCGGTTCCCTTCCAACGAGTGTATTCCAAATCGAATGATCTCACCCATAAATGACATTTTCTCTCTAACTAAACTAATACAACTAATGTATTCTAGTGCCAGGGCACTACACAACGAGTACCATTGATCTTATTTCAGGGCCGTCTTGGCCAGCAGTAGTGTCAAAATGTTAAAGATAATAGTTTTCCAGAGGCATGACCTCCTCTCCGGCCCCAAATGGGCTTGCAACTGGCGTCCGAAGGGCCGCGGGTAGGGAAGCAGGGGAGTTTTCGACACGAGTTGCAACGCACCCCGCTGCAGCTTGTTCTGCAGCTCGTGCTGCAAGGCAATCCCACTTGCATTCACAGCCAAGCCTAATTTGCTGCATTTATTAACTAATTTGACAATTATTGAGTGCGTCAGCAGGAATATTTGGTGTGCTTGCATCTGCGGTTGCCTCGCAGCAAGATTTGCAGCAAACTGTGCTGTTACGCAAGGCGTCCACTGTACCCTAGGGTCGTCGCCAGCAGGAATACAGTCAAAATCCTTGAAACATGAGTTCCAAAAAACATCATTCATACCATTCGGTCTCTAAGCGTCCTGGATGCAGAGGTGGAAGGGCCTTGGACTGGTGCAGAGAGCGAATGGCTTGTAAGCTGCCGCATAACTTGGTGGAACTCCTGCTGCAGGGCAACTCCACGTGAAAGTAGACCCACCTCCTCCTTCTTGCATGCATTAACACCGTAGACGAGTGTTCAAGAAATGTTTGTCGATCGGTATCCAGCTTGTGGGCGACTAGATAGCGGCAAACCATCTCCAGACAGAACTTGCAGTTCTTCAGAGTTCAAGACTATGTGTACAGCTTTCCGAAATGGCGTGGCTTCGGTAATGCCCAAAGCTAGTCGGTGATGCCGACGAATCCGACACCGAGTTATAATGGATTTGTCTTTGGCTCTGGTTCTGAGAAACTACCCTAAGGGAAGTTTAGGCCCTTAGGGATCATAGGGGTCTGGGAACTTGATCGCACTCTCGTCAGTGGATGCAGCAAGCAATGCCCGCGATTCTGCGTCTTTTGCAGCCAACGACAACAGAAACACAGAAACGTCCCATCTATGGTACCTAGTAGGGATCCCAGTTCCCTCACACGATGGGGCAGTCTGAACCCGTCACAATGGAGGTACTGCGGGCCAAGGAAGCTGATGATGTCTGGACTGAGTCCTCAGTCCCTCACATGCTGTGTCGAGATTTGTTCACGCTAATAAAGAACATTACATTTTGATGTAATATTTTCAATAAGCAAGGCTGTTTCTGCAAACGTGTACTGTGGGGCGCATCCTTCGAACCTTACGGCAGAGGAAAACGGCCCAGCAGGCATAGGATGACTGACACCTTCAAGTAAACTCTCTTATGCTACAGACATTCAGAGATCTTTCTGATTCAGCAAAATAANCTCTTGTTTTTTACCGCGAAGTTGTTCTACTTGCAACCCCACTAGACTCGCCACTGCTTCCTAAGGGGTTGGGGAGGAGACGGGCTGGCATGTTGCAGCACATTTTGCGCTAAGTCTCATGCAAGCCTTTCCTATACTCATAAAAAAATACGCCCCTTTGTAAACAATATCTACTGAATTCATCAATTATTTACTCAATAAACATCAATAGGCGCTCACACGCATTTCCATTGCTCAGTCAGCCGTCACTCTAGCAGAACGAGCACGGCAATGTTTCCCATGATTGTAGTGAATATTCACAACAGTGGTGATGCGATTACGGTGATCCCAAGGGAAACGACTCCATGTGATGAAGGGAGCCGAAGCGATGGGCATTGAATCTTACATTTTTTCGGCCGCCAACAACCATTATTTTAAGGCAGTCCGAAAGTGTTTAGGTATCGGGAAGGCCAACCTTCAAGTATCGTCCAGCCCAAAGTATGTACAAAATGAGGGTGTCGTCGGATGGGGCGCCAAATTAGTGCCGAGTATATTGAAGGCTGCACGCTCCTGCAAAAACGTAACTAGAACATTCGCACAGGCACATGTGGAAGTGCATTCCCCACTATTCAGTGTAGAAAGCTGCTGCAAATACAGATTTTTCATGCCAACACTTGCGAACACCGCTGCCGTATGACTTTGAGCAGAGGATTTTATGTGATGACTCTCAGCTTCGTTACACGTAATCTGGAGTCGAAATTTCTTACCAACCGTTTTGTGTTTTGTACACACATCCTTCCGCTGTTCCAATCTGGGTCTGCGGGCCTTTTACAGTGCAAGGAAAGCGGTGGAACAGGCTTCAAAAGGCCACTTCTAAAGCCAGGTGAGTCTTCCAACGGCATTTCGACGTGAAGGAGGGAAGCGAGGAACATCAGGTCTAGAAGTGAGCAGCCGTACTAAAAATCGTTCCCGTACAGGGAAGGGAATAGTGCCAGCCCAATGAACATTACTGAACACATATCTGGGGAGGTATATTTTCAGCCTCGTTTATTCGTTTAGGAATCTGAAAACTCCAGAGTGTTCCGCGCGTTTCTTCGGCGGAGGGGTGCATCTGACGCCAACAGAAGGCCCTGATCAATTGCCCCAATAGTGCGTGGATCCCACCAGGGTTGACTGAAGCATGCGAACGAACTTCGTTCGAAAACTTTGTTCAAATCAAATTTCAACAGCTCGTTAAGAGAGCATCGCACCAGCTTAAGGCACTTTCGATAGAAGAAATGATTCCCTCAGCCGTTCCTGGTAGCGCCTCTGCGTTTCGTTGGTGTCCATCATTCCTTGCATGCGATGATACTGATTCCGCCGGCCTTGCTGCAAATGATATAATAATAGGCGGGAGCGCCTAGAGGTGAACCTGCCGACTTGACTTCAGTACGGCTACTTAAGTATTACTTTCTGGAGACAGCAAGCGCTCCATCAACTGAGTCGCCTTACGACATTTCCAGGATTACATTATGTTGCACGAGTCCTGGTGGATTCTTAAAGGCCAGTTGAACCAATATGTAGGTAACGCTTGCGTTTCCAAGGACGAACGGTGACTGCTATCGCCTATTTTCTTTTATTGCCTTGGAAGATACCTGCGAACGCTGAGGTCGGCAGAAAATAGGCTGAATTTTCGAGAACCACTCACCTCTAAAACAGATCACTGCCCCCACAACCTCAACCTCAATATTGCTTTCTGCCTCCAGAAAGCAATATTGGGGTTGTGTGAGCAGTGAGCTGTTTTAGATGCGCCGTGTGCTAGCGCTAATGGGCATGCAGATAGGTTGGCCGTAGGAATGGAATGTAATGTGAGGCCCCCAACCCGTATGCTGTAAACTATAAGCACTTGTACAGCGGCCGCTGTTTCATGCGAAGGAATTCTGGCTATAGCATTTATATATTGTTCACTTCGCAATGAAGATCTGTGGCAA